AGAACGTCTGAAAATAATATGTAGTTAGGGAGTGAAATATAAACACGTCATGTCTTCATATCTTAACATATGTGTACATATGTGACTTTCTACATTTATTTTCTAAAACACAAAATGAAATCATTCTAATTACAAGCACGACAATCTGTCAAAGGGAAACTCCAAGATAAAATGGTGTTAGGATGACAGCCATAGAATGATTGTAAGAAGGGAATCTGTCAAAGGGATCTGTCAAAGGGAATTCCACCTTACTCCAAGAGTACGTGTTATGGGGAGAGTCATATGTAGCAAGTGTTCCTTTTGACAGATTGTCATGATTATAAATACAATAATTGAATATAAATGCGGAAAATATATGTAGACGAAAATTACTTGACGTGACGAAAGTGACGTGTGTATTAACATTGGTGAGATGACCATTTTTGGAAATATTCATTGTTGTTCTGTAGGTTAATGCAATATCAACGCGCATAGCGGCTATTCAGTACTTACTATATATGGCAAAGTGTGAATGACATGAAGTGTCGTGACGTCTCTGTATCTGTCTTCTTTCGAATAAGCACTGATAACTAAAATCGATAGGCGAAGTACCACCGAAGGAAGCGTAATAAAATGCATGCCAAACATACCCACAATGCGCTGAACAGACAAACATCATGTTTAATTCATAAATATTTGTAACATTTCTTTTATCAACTTGTGTTGCATGGTAATGGACACTTATTTTAGCGGTATTTGAATACAAGACAGACATAAAGGGAGGTATGGCTTCGAATCACCCCTAAATTCATGTGGACATGAGCAATTTTCTTTGTGACCTCATTTGTCCCTAATCAACATAACTACTACCACTACTACAGCTACCAATGGTGTGGGCGCAAAAGTGCTCTTTATCATACAATACTATACCAAACTGATTTCTATATCAGACGAAATAAAACTATGTTTAAATGAACTGATTTCCCTGGTCATGTCATACGAAAAGACTTCACTAAGCCTCACACAAGGTAGACAATAACGTGAATAACTGAAGGGCTAATTGGTTGTTTGAATTAGGAAACCTAACTTTTCTGTTTGAAACTGTACAACATGGCGATAAATCACAAATCACGTGGTGGATACAGCGGGGGTTAGTGTCAAAGCTTTTAGTGACGTCAGGGGTGGTCGGGTAGCCTAGTGGTTAAAGAGTTCGCTCGTCACGCCGAAAACCCGGGTTCGATTCCCGACAAGGGTACAATGTGTGAAGCCCATTTCTGGTGTCCCCCGCCGTGATATTGCTGGAATATTGCTTTTAATCGGCGTAAAACAATACTCACTCACTCACTCATTTAGTGACGTCAGCTTTAAAAAAACGTTTGGTATAACAAAGACGTACATGTATGTACGTCCGTGGACATAAACACATAAATCATTTACTTGAAACTGTACAACATGAACAGACTTAATAAAAAGTCTGACACATAAACACTTTATTTGTTTACTTGGTTGTTGTTCTGTAACATTTTTAATGAAGAAAGAGATCTTCATGTTTGAATGGTCCTATAGAATGGTCATATGTACTCGAACAATGGAAACCCCGTCGACGAAACAAGGAAAAGGTCTGTTATTTCATAAGTGTCATACGGGGAATTAAATTCGTCATTTCCTCCACCAACCAGTCACGCGTTTACAAACTACTGAGACAATTTTGACGTTATTGTTTTGTTTTCAACGCATCAATGACATAAGGGGAAAATATATTTCGACTAGACTGCTTGTAAACATACATCCGGGGAGCCGTACGAAAATATTCCGAACACATTTTTCATAGGTCATAAAGGTTTAGCGAAAATAGTTATTGTGTTTGTAAAGCCCTTTTCCATATTTTTCAGAAACGAGTTATTTATAAACGCGACTACCATGATATACTGAAATATTGGTGACTGTAGCTTAAGAGCCCCATTCACTGACGACATTAAACATGTTGATGAAAGGCGATTCTCATAGCAGTGTGTGTGGTTCTAATTTGTCGAGTATCCTTATTATCCATATGATAAACCATTGAAGACGTAGTGTCTGTTTGTACGTATTGAAAACCGTGTCGAGATAGTAACAGAATAAACATGCCGTCAACAAAGTTGTCTATGAGGGCTTTACTTTCGTGAATCGAAAATTAAGCCAACAAATATTGTATTTGCAGCACGTCGATAATGCCGTGGTGCAAGCGAAATGATTATAGATGCTCATCATATGTATTTATATTAACTTGATTTACGGGTAATATTTAGAATAACCTACAAGATCATAAACTTTTCGAAAATGAGGAGACATGTACCTTCCTGCACTGCAATCTGATATATAAACTTTAATAGTTTATGCATACTTGATATGTGCAGTATGTTTGTATTACTAGAGTGCATGTGTGAGTGAGCAGTATGTTATTTTCTTTAAAAAATATAAGATGTGCTGATAAGTTGTGTTGTATGTCATGGGCTTTCTCCTACCCTGGGCGGAAGTGCATTTTATGTAACAGGTACTTCTTTTTAAAAGCAAAATAAGGGGGAAAAAGAAAAACCTACACGCTATGAGGGATTACAGATTTTAGATGAAGTAATGTTGAAAGTCCCTCACCAAGACACAAAATTAATCCGATCATCCAATGCTGTTCATAGATTCCAAGTCACCATTATGTAATGACGTCATAATAGATGACGAGGTCACAGTAAACCATTGTGAACCGCAGGTTAGAACGGTTACCACTGAAACCATTGTAAATATAGGAGACCCGAGTGTCTTTGATATGAATATATCAACGAGTGTTGATATATTTGATATCAAAAGACAAGAGGGTGAGATTTCATTTATCATCCAACATCATTCTTCCAACTTTTTCAGTTTGTAGACAGTAATAAGCAGTGTCTAAGTGTAAAATGTACTGCTAACAGCTTCAGTAGCAGAGCCATTAGTGATGTCATTTGATTGTGACGTCATGGTAACCAATGACGTCACAATGGTCTGCAAAGCATTGTGATGCAATTTCATTGCAGCGATATCTACAGTATAGATATCGCTTGATCTTACCGAAGCGATATCTCCTGTGGGAGCCAGTTTTGGATGATAAATAGAGAATCTCACCCGAGTGTCTTTTGATATCAAATATATCAACACGAGTTGATAAAAGTGGAAAGATTCCGAGGCTGTTATTCACGTTATTGTCTACGTTGTGTGAGGCTTAGTGAAATCTTTTCGTATGACATGACAAGGGAAATCAGTTCATTTAAACATAGTTTTATTTCGTCTGAATTAAATCTATATAGAAATCAGTTTGGTATAGTATTGTATGATAAAGAGCACTTTTGCGCCCACACCATTGGTAGCTGTAGTAGTGGTAGTAGTGATGTTGATTAGGGACAAATGAGGTCACAAAGAAAATTGCTCATGTCCACATGAATTTAGGGGTGATTCGAAGCCTTATCTCCCTTTATATCTGTCTTGTATTCAAATACCGCTAAAATAAGTGTCCATTACCTTCCAGTTTTGGATGATAAACTTGCCGAGAATTTTTCCCACTTTTATCAACTCGTGTTGATATATTTGATATCAAAAGACAATCAGGTGAGATTCTCTATTTATCATCCAAAACTGGCTCCCACAGGAGATATCGATGGGATGAGATCAAGCGATATCTACACTGAAATTACATCACAATGCTTTGCAGACCATTGTGACGTCACTGGTTACCATGACGTCACAATCAAATGACATCACTAATGGCTCTGCTACTGAAGCTGTTAGCAGTACTTTTTACACTGAAGACACTCCTAACTACTATCTACAAATTGATAAAGTTGAAAGAATGTTGTTGGATGATAAATAAAATCTCACCCTCGTGTCTTTTGATATCAAATATATCAACACTCGTTGATAAAAGTGGCAAAAATCCTCGGCAAGCCTCGGAATTTTTCCACTTTTATCAACTCGTGTTGATATATTTGATATCAAAGGACACGAGGGTGAGATTCTCTATTTCTTCTCTACAGTTAGATCTAATTAGCCCTAATTACAAAGTGCACACAATAAAGGAAAAGTAAGTATTGTTGCTAGTCATAACGTCCCTATATATAGGGTGGGGAAGCAGAGAACCATTTACAGTGACAAAAAGGATGTAGTGAAAATGGTCTCAAAACTTCAAAAGTTAAAACGGACATACACAAAAAAATGGCCACAAACCTATCCTCACAATGGCCTAAAATAAGTCATAACCGCCACAACATAAAGTAAAAATGGCATAACACATGAACATCTATTGGTGAGTAGTGAGCATGCTTTGGCCTATGACACCTGCCTCGGCTGGATCCATAGGACCCTGGGACAGATGCAGTTTCCATTTATCTGCCTGTCATGTTTGGCATCATCTGAAGTAAGTCATCTTAAGTACCAGCAGCTCTGGAAGAGACATTTGAAAGCCAGTGGCTTTGCAGCAACATCTTTAGTCTCAAGCTGGTTGGTCTTCAACCATTCCATCATGTTTGTTCTTTCTTGTTATGTTTATAAGACAATTAACCTGACATAATAATTGAGTTGGTTGTCTATATTTTTGGTTGTGGTCTTTCCTTGACTTGAAATACAAAGTTTTGTTTGTTGTTTAGGCCCTACTCAGTTATATGATGCCAGTCTGGAAATAATTGGGTCTGGACGAGACAATCCAGTGATTGACATCAAAAGCATCTATCTACGCAACTGGGATACGATGATATACATCAACCAAGTCTGCGAGCCTGATCACCTGATCCTGATAGTTGCCTCTTACGACAAGCATAGTCACCTGTTATGGCAAGCATGGGTTGCTGAAGATAAATTCTAACTCGCACCTTCATGGGTTACAGACGAAGTGATCAGTTTTCCCTGAAACCCTCATCCCTCTAAGATTTTTTTTTTTTTCTGCTGAGGGAGTGGAACTTCAACATACTGACTAGCCAGCCAGTCATCTTGCTTTGTGAACAAAATAATACAAAGTCAACTTCAGTGATAATGATTTTTTTTATGTCAATCATTTTTTTCAAAGTGTTACAAAGATGAGTTCTCTGCCAGTTGTCTGGCAAATCCCTTCTCCTCTCCCTAGATGAACATATCACAAATGTCTAGAGAGACTCACATATTACGTCTAGCGTGTGGCTACAGCGCCCTCTACATGCCACCAACTCACTCTCCAAGTCACACTCACGCTCGCTCTCACGTTCTGTCCTTGCATACCCTATATACAGGACCAGTCAGGCTATGTACAGCATCACTCAAGCTCCTGCTCATGCCATGTGGATGTAGATCTGCCTTCAGTCAGGCAGAAAAAACACTAAATAACCATTGTAGCATGACGGTTAAAAAAATATTATCCCAACAGTTTACACAGTATCACAATAAATATTGACTTTATTACTGTGTTGAGGATGAAGTAATTGTTTTCAAATATTTCCCCTAAAATATAACTCTTATTTGAAATTGCAGGATAATCCCACTGTTATAGCAAAAGCTACGGAAACAGATTTAAACATACCAGGTATAACATACATAAAGCTTATCTACTATAAGCCATGGCAAATAGTAAAAACATATTATAACTCTTTTTCTATCAGGCCAGTATAAACTATTAACTACATCATCCCCCCCACCCCACCTCCCCAAAATTTTACCTCTTCTTATGCTGTCTTCACATTTCAGACTCAATTTCCTGTCTTTGAACGAAATAAAATACTTCCCCACAATCCTGTCAGGAATACATGGATGATAATCAAATAAATAATATATTCCAGCCTAATAAAACACCACAAAAAGGATGTTTTCATGGATAGTATCTAAACGGCAAAGAAACAATCCTTTACAGTACCAATAAGAAATATACAACAAAGCTATTAAAACAAAGTAATAAACATAAAATATTGTCTAATCTGTTTTCTTATCTTCATTAACACAGACTTACAGATAGTAGATGGTTAAAGACTCTTTGTTATCAGCATCTGCCAAATAATTGTTGCATCAACAACAATAGTAAAATAAATCACTCTGCTAATCAACAAAAGATAACAAGTTGTTCCACAGTTGGCATAGAATCCAGGCCATTGTACTAATAGAAAAGGTCACATCTTTGATTATTATTTTCTTTCCAGAGAAAAATAATGAAGCATACATTTCTCAGTTGATTTACCTTTCATAACAAATCAGATTACTTGCCAAAAAACTGGATCTTCCCATATATGGAGAAAAATGTTCCCAACTTAACAGCTCAGATGAAGTTCATTTTCAGAAGTAATCACTGGACTGACCCAAGAAAATGTAAATGCTTGATCCTTGCAACATAATATGCCATCAAAGAAAAGTACTTGTCTTGTTGTAAACAAGGCAATCATTGACTAATCACCTCACCATAACAAAACAACCAACATGTAAAACAAATTCAATTCCAGTACAAAGCAGATCATAATTTCCTAAGAAACATATCATGTCCTATCAACAGTTACTGCCAACATCTCCAAGGTATTGATGAGTTGAAGGAAACAAACATCATATATTTTACACAAACCTAGAACCCTTTGGGTAACAAAGTAATGTAAGCATCAGTCAAGTCAAATAATCAAAACAATTTAAGCATGAGCAACTAGTTATATATTCAAACAATTTCATTGACATAATCAAATAGCACTCTTAAAGTTATACAATAATCATTAAGGATCTTCAAAAAGTCTTAATGCGTTGATTTTTCAAATTCTCTCAATTACTTAACACACTTTTAACTAAAAAAATCAATGAACCAAGAGAATTCGAAAGTGTGAAATAGTTGTACGAAATAAGCTGTGTATAAAGACAGATAGCAACTCATACAAGAAAAAACACCTGCAGAATCCATAAGAAATGATGAAACCCTAACATGTAATATGGACAAAGTCAAATAGCACTAACAGTGTTGATCGCACACAGGAAGTCTAATCAGTAACAATGTAATATACACATGACACGCACAATAGGGAAGAATAGTATGGAAAACATTTGTAAATAATTACTTTACAAAAGAACAAAATGTTTAAGTAAAGAGTTCACCATGAATCGTAATATTCTTGTGACAATATATATCATGGTGAGAGCCTCTCAAGCTAAGGGAGTGACACAACACACAAACATAAGTGCACAATGAAAGCAACCAATTTGTTTTCATCCCCTAATTTCAGTCTTTTCCATCAATTGGTAAATGCTATTGGGAAATATAACACTTATCAGAAAGATCTCACATCACTGAACATGGTCGTAGACGAGTAGAAGTTTCTTGGGAGAAAAGCTCCAAAGGATATGTTATGCCATTTCACATCAGCATTGGCTTCACAGTTAGGAGAAATATATACATTGTATTATATATGTAATGGTCTGACTACAACCCTCTACACATTTATGAAAAGTAATACTGAAATGTTAATAAAACATCTTGTTTTATGAACTTTGATTAAAAAAAAAAGGTGTTGTTTAAAATTCTTTATTTACAACAGAATTACATTTTGTGGAAAGTCAAAATACAAGATCTAGTTTATCATCTTAGACCAGACCATTTTTGTTCCTTGTTTCACAGACGAACCATCCCAAGGTATAACAAAACACCAACAAAACAAAGCAACCTTTGATTGAATGCATCCGCATACATAGTCCCAGGTACCGGTAGTCATGTTTTCTCTTTGGCTTGAAAGCAGTTTTTGTTCGATAATACATATGTATAAGTCACAGAGAGCTACTTAAAGCGCCTATGGAATTTGTGCTCAATTGTCGTGTATACTGTAGCCATCATAACGTTACGTGGAGCTTCTCTTACATCGATATGTTTCTGCCAACAACATTTATTCAAGTTTAAAACCTGACAGCAAAACTGTCATGACATCTAAAAATTGAGCAATATATTGGGTGATTTGGTTTACACATATTTCTACAAATAGAATTTGGTTCAAACTCATTAATGACTCAGTTATTTTGTCTCAAACCTCAAATGGAGCATTATCAGCTGGAATTGGGACTGAACCTTTTTACCCATTAATTATGTACAAACTATTTTTCATTCAAATGCATTTTGTGAACCACCTGCAAGCAATCCCATTTTAACTTTTGTGACAGACTTTCCACAAAGCCAGCTTGTTAATGATCAACATTAAATCATTTACCGGTAGTCTTCCAGAAGCCCCCCACCCACCTCAAGAATATTTTTGGCCTATTGTAATTTGGCATAATATTGGCTTTTATACTATACTCCCCAGGAAGGTGAGTATGAAAGGAGCGCACACAGATCCTTTGTCAGGGATAATTAGCACTTTCAGAATGGATGGATTTGGCGCATCATAAATATACCCCATTACATCATCATCATTATCAAAAATGGTCTGGCCTTATCAAAAATGAATCCATTTTGACATCAAATGGCAGGATTAGCCTCCTTACATCCTAACTTGCATGGTAAAAGTGATCAATATATATAACAATTGAATTATCGGAAATATTCTGATGAATTTATAAAGTCACCAACCACAGAATCTATAAAGACATGTATTTACACCTTACAAATACAGCTTCACAAAGTTGTTGTTACAAAACTCTCTACTCTTTGACCATCACAGAAAACAAGCATATTGGAAAATGTTCATATTTACATCTACTATAATTCATACCGGGAAGTCATAAATGTTACTAAATGTTCGCGAATGTCATTCTTGTAAGACTCTCAAAGCAATTGTATTAGTTCAAATGCTTGCATATTTCTTCTTTTTCAGACCAGCTGATTACTTTGTTTCAATATAAAAGAAACATGCACTCACAATGTCTCTAAATGTGCATGTGTGGGCAACCCAATGACTGCAGTTGAGACTAGAGTTACTTCCCTTTTCATGTCATCACTATGTACAGATGAGAATTCACTAGGTACTTTACCATATAAATAGCAAGGAAACACTGGAAAAACTCTAAATAAGGAAAAAACACTCGAGCAGCACTACTGTAAACAACATTTCAAAATAAAACTCAAATGCTCCCCTGGGTTGGTTTATGACACATTGCATTATGAATTTTCACAAGCCAATATAAGTAGAGAACTTACAAAAGTCTGCAGTATTATACAGAACACAAGATCAAAGTTTAATGTGATCTAGAAAATAGCTCAGTAACATGTGAATTATTTGCATCAAAACAAATTAGGTACCTGGTGTATTACTGCAAATACAAAACGTTCCAATACCAAAATAACAATGATGATTTTTATTCCCTCTGTTAAATAGAGAATTTTGCCAAAAGTAAACTTCTGCTCCTTACCTACAAGTTGAAACCTTAGTGCTTAGTGTATGTAGTAATCATGATTATACACCAATTTCTAGATCATCTATTTAACTAGAAGTGAATAACACATATTTTGAACAGGTAAATAATGTTTATTAGCCAGAATGCAACACATCAAGCTCAATTAGGTGATTCAGTGAGTGAATAAAGTTTTACGCTGCTTTTAGCAATATTCCAGCAATGGGCTTCACACGTTGTACCCATGTTGGGAATCAAGCAAGGGCCTTCAGCGTGACAGGTAAACGCTTTAACCACTAGGCTACCCCACCGCCGCAGTTCATTTAGGAATCTGGTGCACTAAATACCGACTATTTATATCTGTAAGCTATGACAGAACAGGGGCTGTGCTTATTGTGCAATTCAAAAACTGTGGCTAGCAGTGGGAAAAGTTACAGGGAGTCTGAGGATTGTTATTAAGGAATTCAATACTACTTCTTTCTCAGTGTTAGGTTAAAACAATTTCAGTTATCTTCATCAGTAAAAGGTACTTCATTCTATCATTCTGCCTCAAGCTCTAGTAATAGCTGCTGTACGCATGCACAAACTAATGAATGTTGTTGCCTGAGAACTAAGTGTTGTGTAGGTAATGTCAACCGTTTCGACAGAGAACTCACCCTGAAATGGTATCTTTACAATGATCAGCAGCCTGGGGTTATATTGATTGATCATCAACACATCAAACTGCATATTGCCCAATATTGCCAATAGAAGCTAAAATATCTCAAGCTAATATCAATGCCATGCTACCATGCTTTTCTTTTCATTTTGATCCCAAATACACCTTGCTCTTTGAGAAACTTTGGTATCCATTCAGCAAAGATGCATACATTTTTATTTGACATTTGCCAGAGGGACCACTCTGAACTGATGAACAACTTCTGTACAATCTGCTGAACCTCATGCTTCACAGACAGGTTAGGCATTGTCATCATGTTAAAGATGTTAAGAAAATCTACTGCAATAGTCATACCTACATTGCAACAGTGTCGCAATAATGTTGTTGACTAAGGCAATGCTATTGCAATACCAAAATGACCTTGACAGTCAACAATGATCAGTCTCCTCTTCTTCCCCATCAGTATAACAAATCTCCAGTTACTTTGTTTCCCTGAGTTGAGGAATAAGTCAGACAGTCAAATCATGTATTCTTCAGTCACACAGACGTCTGTTCCCAAATAAAGTGATGTCTGATTAATTAATCACTGATGGTACGTTTCTGATAGTCATTCTACTTACTTTTAAGTGCCATAATCAACATCCCTGATGAAACAATCCCTATAAAGACCATCCCAAATGATACAGCCATGGTCCATGTTCACATATAGTGACATTAATGACCACAAAATGAAATTTCTGACTCTCAGGTACATCTTGAAGAAAAAATATAATCAGTAGAGTTTCATTTTTATCTCTTTGAACCATGTATTAGAGGGCATCCTATTGCCTTCTCCGAGAAAAATCATCCTGCTCTTCATAAGAGGCAAGAGGTGTCAAATGTTTGATTTTACCGATAGTTATCAAAAGCAATTGAGGTGAACAATGATAATATTTTTAACAGAAATATTATGGCCAAATAAGGACAAAAGATAGTTTACAAGTACATATTTAAGCCTTTTCTAGGATATCTCTGACACACGTATCATAATGAATCCACTACCGGTATATCAACAATGTGAGGAAGCCATTACAGCATGTAAAAATAAACCATTTCAGGTTGAACTCCTCAAATAATGCAATTCAGGGCTAGACTGATACACATAGTTACAGGAAACACATTGCAAGATTTCACTAGGTATATCAATGCATTTACACTTATAGGGGAAGCATTGTAGCCCAACAACAATCCACAAGATATCCCCAAACACAAGAATCACAAGTCTCATGAGACTTTCAAAGTTGGTTTTGCATTGATGAAGTTGTTTCATACCTGGAAGTTAAAAAAATCCTATTTTCCAAATGATAATTTATGTAACATAAACAATTAATAAGTAGATGATCTAGTTTGGGTTGACATTACAAGAAATTGACGGAAGTCGTCTGAATGGGGACATGACAGAAGGGACAGTTCCTGGTCTTGGTGGCACACGCCTCACACAACACTCGATGACTGCAGGGGAGAATCGACACATTCCTTTTGTTGGTCTGACAAACTAAGCACTTTGTGGATGTTTGCTGATAAATTATCTGAAAAAAAAAAGAAAGAGAAAGTTTTACGTGACATGAGAGACAAGCACTTGAACTGAACTTATTCTATTTATAGGGCTGGCATTACTGGCTTTGATCATCTGTATGTTGATGTGAAAACAGTCACAGTTCTTGTAAAACCTGATAATTTGCCTCATTAGCAAAAATAGCCCACCTATTACATTTCTGCTTACAGAAAGTGATTTTACTCATCGTCTAGCTTGTCACGCTTTACATTTTCATCAAAATGCCTTCTTGTATTGTCCTCAACATCCAGTAAAAACAAACATGGCAAAGAAACTAGAAGAAATTGTTGTCAAGGTTTATTTTGGATAAATATTCTTAAAAAAGTACTCTTGAACAATGTTGAAATACAATTATCGAATGCATGAACAAAATAATTTTCAAAATCTGCAACTTATTTACTTATTATCTTCTCTAAACAGCATAATTAGGGGCAGGTTCATCAATAAAACAGGGAATTTCAATTTGGCCTAAATGAGTATGGACAGGTTTCCCATCGACTGTCCATACTGGTGCCTGAGAACTGAGACTTTGACCTAGTCTGAACATCAGCTGTCTTAACAGAGAGTGAGTGAACGTTCTTACACATCAGTCACCAAAACTATAGCCAATGACAACAGCCTGTAAATACCCAAGTCTAGGCCTAGCCAATCAGTGGCTTACAGCAAGAGCAATGGTACTGAGCATAATGACCCCCATTTGGGCAGGTCACTCACTGTGACCACCCAACAGTAGTCATCTCTTACAACAAGCATAGGGTGCCTGGGATCTAGTGTGACCCAAGTCCCCCTCCCTGTCTGTCTCCACAGCAACATCCCTACACATGCCTTACCTCATCTACCCGTTCTAAATCCACGTGTAATGTCTGTCGTATGTGTCGTAACGCTGGAAGAGACAAGTTTTCTAGATCTGTTATTCTGTGTAACGTTCGTAAGTAGGGTCCCCCATTCAGACTCTCCAATTCTTGCTTCAACCTCTGAACCTGAGTCAAGGACTGCATGATGAAAAGAAGAAGAAGAAAACACTTAAATATGCACATAATCATAACACAAATGGTTGGCCTCAGAAACAAGTGAAGGCAGCTTGAACTGGGAACATGATGCCATTACATGTTATGTCAAATTCTTGTCCACTCTTCCAAACAGATTATTGGCTGGTGATCTGTTTCATTCTTACAACGGGATAGAATAAAGTATAACAGAGTAAATTTATATATTAAATTTTGTCATAAAGTTGATCATAAAGGTGGTGTTGGTATACGGAACAGGTGGGTTTTCAGTGCAACTTTGAAGGCTGATTTTAATGCTGTGGACATGGTTGAAAGTTAAAGATAGCAGTTAGTTGCACTCATGTTTGCAGATCTTTTAGTGCAACATGAAATATTGTCATGTATGAGAGACTGAAAAAAAACAAAAAACCTCACTATAATTTTGCAAAGGGGATGTTTTCAGACTAATCTCATATCCTATCAAAGTTGACCATGAAAAGTGATTTGACCCATTAATTGTACATGATGCATGAAAGCACACATATTAAAAACCTTAACATAAAGTCTGTATGTGAGATAATGCCTCATGACCATGAATGTTACTCAGTGAATGTTGCCAAGTCGGCAATATTGCAGCTATAGCATAACAGCTACAGTATAAGTTATCAAGTATGTTCCTGATAAACCAGTCGTTCATAGCATGAGAAACAAACTCCAAGTTCGGAAATGAAGCCAGGTCACACACAGTAACCTTACATCACCAAACTAGTCTTTCAATAAGCATGTGGAACTTAAACCCTCACAAATGAGGTGTCCAGATATAAGCACATAAAACCCTGGGCTTCAACTAACTATTCAAAGAGAACTGAAGAAAGCAGTCTAACCTCATCCCTTTGTTTAACTGCCTGTATTTTGTCCTCGTCAGCACCCTTGGCTTTCTTCATTGACTCCTCAGCCTCCTTCTTCCATGCATCGCATGCCTACAATGAGCAAAGTTTGCAGGGTGCCGAGCAGGTGATGGAGCAGGGTGGTATGCCACATGAAGCATCACTGCAGCCACTTACAGCAGAGGCATGCTTAACACACTACACTACGCTACCCATCCCTTACCATGTACCTTGGCAACTCGGTATGCAGCTTCCAACTGTCTATTGCCCAAAATGCAGTGAACACTGACATTTGGACATCTGACAGATGTAGTAGGATCTACACTGCTTTTACCAACAATCCAGCAACAGCATGTTGGGGAAGACCAGAAATGGGCTTCAAACATTGCAGCCTTTGGATGAATTTTATATCAGCCTACTCTTTAACATGTTTCACCACAAGATGACCCTCCCCACCCGCTGACTGACGATTGCATACATCTTGATGAATGGATGACCCACTTCACTTGGGTGAGTGATTCAACATGTGACAATCCTGATGATTCCCTGGCCATTACTATGACAGTCATATCACAACTTCACAGCAAAATCAGCCCTTGAATAGACAAGCCATGTATCACTGCAGGAAAACTATACATTACAATCAAGTTCTTTGTCCAAGATACAGGGGTTAAACAATGGTTTTACACTGTGTAAGTAAGCTATAAATGATAACTTTAGGCAATAAAATGTATGTTCAATTCGCCAATTCAAGGGTTAATGAGTGAGAAAGTCTGGATCAAAGCGGCTTTAAACGTTATTTCAGTCACCATATTTTCTTGACTATTAGTGCATAACCAAGCATAATGAGCTCTAGGCTGCAGTATTTTAGAAAAAGGAAGATGTTTTGAGCTCAGGCATGATGATTTACTATTTAAAGTTCATTTCCTGTTCTGCTAGGCATCTTTATTTCAATGCAGAGATAAAAATTACCATGTGCATTTTCTCATATTCTAAGCAATCAGGTGTACACATACTTTCTCCCAGACCTACCGGTGGCTGCAGCTTTTTACAATATATATTTAAAATATTCATAACCATAAGTGTATTACTTTGGAATATTGACGGATATATTTTACAGTTTTACCAGTTTCTGTTGAGGCTATGCTGTCATATAATAGTCAAACTACAATACGTATGACTTTTGGCAAGTCAAAGTATTGCATATATGTGTCCATTCTCTGCCATTATTGCTGTAAATAATGGCAAATTTGTGCAATCTGATCAACAGTGCACACAGCTAGTGTAACAAATTACATAATTTGTTACAAATTACTATTTGTTCACATGGTATTTTCGGTGTTACATGCTCACAGTTTGGTCTTTGCGTTAGGGAAAAACTCTCAAAATTCACTGTAGGCATGTTATATGCACACCCCCCTTTTATACACAGCTGTATTTTTCTTAGGATAAATCTGGGCACAATACACAAGAAAACATGCAACATCATGGCTTGGTAGCTTAGACATTTACCTCTTTTGCAAAACCCTCACGTTCGGGTATGATGCAAACTAACCATGAATCATAACCAAGGCAAATTCACAAATGCCTTAAACAATATAACATGGAGGGGCAACCCATGCGCCTATCGATTATTGGTTAGGTTCTCTTTGCATTTATGAAGCCTACTTATAGGGTATACATTTAGAGACAAATGACAAACCAGTGACCCATGACATGCATGTTTTTGTTAACCCCAAACTGGACTTCCTCCTCTGTCTACTCAGTAGCCATTATGGGCAACCAATTCCCATTCCAGCAGTTGGGGAGTAAATACATCCTATTCTACCCCAGTGTACTTTCCTGGACTATGATCTAATAAAAGCACTTGTTTAACCACACAATGACTGATTGTGTTGTGCTGCACCCAGGAAAGAATTCATCCACTTACACATTTAGCTTGTGTGTACACGCCTTCCCAATCGGCCAGCTTGGCCTTTGTGACGATCAGTTCTTCTCGGAGTCGCTGTATTTCCGAGTTCTGTGTACAAGTCAGAGAGGATGACGACAACATCGGCGACTGTGGACCTGTGCTACGTGGGGACATTGAGTTGACATCGCTGTAGGATGCACTGGACAATTTCACCGTGTTAGAGTAATTAAGGAACGGAGAAGAGGACTGAAAAAGAAGAAAACAGAACTTAAATTGAAACTCTCTAGACTGGCAAAAATCATTGTTTGAGAAAGTTCAAGTGAACGAGATTTGCAATATTTGGTAATATTCAAGTCTTGTCATGGATTCATTAAAGTTATCAAAGCTGGTACTGAGGTATTGAAAACCTCTTTTACCATCGCTGACCTGCTTAGAGGCCAATATCAGGCCTCTGTCCCCTTAAGTTTTTGAGAAGATTTTCAAATATATTTAAAAAAAATCAAAGATGGCTTATTGAAATCCCAATTTTGATGCTCAGAACAAACTTCACTCCTTTTTAGCAACAAACATCCACATACATTTTAAACTAAATCCTTAAAGCAAAGTGGAAAATGTAAAAAGCTTATTGACAACAGTGACGACAGACAACTTGCAAGAACATGAAGATATGGCTTGCAAGGATTAAAAAATAATATCACAATGTTGAACAAAATAATTAATTTACCTAAATTTGCTTGTCAATGAGCACATAGTCTGCAATCTGCGTAACTCCTGGCATAAACCTGGGCTCTAAGTACATCAACTATTTCACCTACATGCCACCATGTCTAACATACAGCTTCCTAGTTTACCTGTTGTCTGCCTTGCTCTGTGGAGTGGTCGTGCTTCTGAACCTGCAGAGGCATCATGGAGTGGGGGAAGCTCCCGAAGGGGGAGGGTGGAGACTGAGACAAGCTCCCAACGCTGCCCCGCTGCTGAATCGTGCTGGGTGGGATCCCTATGGGCCCCGATGTCGTGCCCAGCAGGCTTGATGCTGACAGTCCTGCACTCAAGGAGCTGCTCACTGAATTTGTGTCATTATCACGGTCTAATTCCTTGTCTAGGTTGTTAATGTCAAAATCATCAAGGCTGATGTCATCTAATGCTTTCCCTGGAAATATGACAAGTAAAGGATATGAATATTTGCACATAGTAATATATCAAATTTAGATAAGGATAATCAGATATGTTATTTTATGTAAACTTGACATACCGTATTCGACGTAATAAGCGCACACAGCGATATTTGCTAATATATTGGCTTGTGAACAATCCAAATTAGCACCCTTTACGATTGATTAATGTACAGAAGACTTATTTATTCATGTATAATACAAACTCGTGTGATATATGCACCCTTAATTATGGGCAATTAGATTCTCGAAAATATATCTATCGTGTAAAATACGCACAGATTCTTCTTTTATATCATTTCAGGCTTTCAGCATAAACCAAAAGTTTACAAGCTTTCAACTCTGTTTTTTATTTCACCAAAATTATATTCTAACAGAAGCCCCCTATTTTTAATTTTGAGAGCGTTATGGGTGCTTATTACGTGGAATACGGTATTACGAGAATCTGTGAAAGATACAACATCCCTATCAGAAGTTGAGTAGTATATTAAACATGTTTTCTTTATTCCTGTTTTTCAGTGACATAGAGCTAGATACCATGGTTGAACCATGGTTGCTGTGTATAGGCCTGCAAGTAATGTCACACGACATAAGCATACGATCAATGCGTATGCTAATTTGCACTTTTAAGCTGATTTTGTGTTCCATGGAATCTAAACATATTTTTCATATCAGACTAAAGTCAAGTCTCGTTTATCCGACACTCGTTAATCCGACAATCGGCTTTATCCGACACAAATGATGGGAACCGATTAAATCAGTGCTGTTTAGACCCGTTAATCCGACTCCGACTGTTAAATAAATGGTACCTCAACACTAACTTGCAATAAGTAACATTATAATCTAGGTTAATATACAAATTTTATGAAAATATTAACAATTATGCTTGAATTTTGTACAACAAAGAAACATAAGCCATTTCAATATCCCATATCAACTTGTGGTGGGGAATAACAAAACATCCTTAACAATAGTTTCTTAATTCAGTTACTTTCTTTATTACTATGTGAAGGTCAGAAGTGCAAAACTATGTTTACGAATCAGCTGAGTTACACGCTCACCTATAACAGATTCCACGGTATCTCCGGGAGGATAGAATGCAGGAGCTAGAGGGGACATTGTAGAGCCTGTTGCCAGTGTGCGTGACTGTAGATGTGACATGACATTAGCGAAGGCACTATGTGGTACACCGCTGCCACCCATATTACCACCGTGGATGGTGGTGTTGGTGTTGAGGTTGTGGATGAGGATGAGGTTCTGTTTTCTCTTCTCCTTCTCTCCAATGTCCAGCGATGTGTCGTTCTCTATTGCTTGGAGCTGCAGGCGTAATTTGGTCTGCAATGGAAAAGCATTTATATACAGAACTGAGAAAGAAACAGAATCGACACTTCAGCTGCCTAACATTTACAATAAACTTACTAATCATCATGAATGAAGTTTGACTTTATACCCAGTGGCTTACATACAATGCGTCTTGTTTCACAGCCCCACACAGGCTGGTTCCGTGTCAATCACATAAGCTCATCAGCCTTTTCAACAACAACAAAAAATTGCTTAAAATGATACAGGTACCTTCTAATTTGCATTTGTTCATAACCAATTTACCTCTATTAAATTCAATGTGAAGTGGTACACTCTGCCATCATGTGACCATCAGATGGTTAACATCATTGTACTGATTGACATTTGGACATCCTCAGATGAAGTTTTGGAAACTGACCTTACCAATGAGTTTTTGATGTTACCAATCATAATCAAAGGGAGATAAGCCAAATGTTTAACCCTTTCAAGTTTGAAATGTTTTCATTACAGGTCACTTTTTACAGGTTAATCAGATATATCTTCCAACAGTGCATTCAAAATTAGTTTTTAGAACTGAAGAACCTGTTTTTTGAACAAAGTACAAAGGTTTCAAATGGCCATAACAAGCAATACAAATGGAGAATTGATGCCAATTACCATGGTACCATCAAGCCGGACATACACAAGCAAGGAAGAAAAAAAGCAAAAGGATCATTCATCAAGTTACAAGAAACCGAACTATATCTTTACCGCTACCATGTTTGTAATAGAGCTAGATGAAACAGCCCAACATTGCATATGGAGGATATACACTTAGAAAATATCTGGGCATAACGCAATGAACACACAAAACCCGAGTAATGAAGACATAATGTTGATAATGATTAGCATAACTTGGAAAAATATGTCAGCGCTCTACATGAGAATACATGAATAGTATTTTGTGGTGGTGGGTAGTATGGTAGCGTGTGCAAAATGTGTGGAGCCTATTTTTGGTGTTCCCTGATATGGCTGGAATACTGTAAAAAGCTGCATAACTCCAAACTCACTGCAAACATTGTGGTGGTGGTGGTCGTAGACATTAAAAGCAACTTGATATTCAACTTTCATCATAAATTCCCAACATAATGACACCTGTCATACTCGTGTACACTAATTACATAAGTGACTTGCTTCTGATAATATTCATGTCATATTGATTATTGACATTTATTGACATTTCTTGGCAGAGCAATACAAAACATTTAATGCAAGTGAATAGTTTTCAATCCTACCAGATCTTGACTACCAGATCCATTCTAACCCTAACTCCAAATGTTATATGTCAGTTACAAACATTTACGTTGTTCTAGTTATGACAAATAATAAGTACTGTTTGGCTCCGGTGAGGTGACTTGGGAAGAGGGAGAAAAAGAGGCCAAAATGCTAAGTTTAAATTTTATACTATCATGACCATTGCAATATTTTGCACTCGAAACTCCAATGTTTTTTATAAAATCTGATTGCGACCAACAACTGTGAATAAAAGCAAATTCTGATTGGCGTATGAGCTGCCCATGTTACCATGGTTACTGTCCATGTAACATCCGGACCTAGAGTTACTAATTAAGTCAGCTTAATGTCTAAGAGTTTGATTTTACTACATTCTCAGCCATATTCCAGCAGGGGACACTAACAATTTCACACATAGGACCAATTTGGGGAAGCAATCAGAGTCTCATTCAACAGAAGCCCACCCCTTAACCACTGGACCATTCCACTGCTCCTGAGGTGGTTGAACTCATGGGTATCAAAATATACCCTGGGTAAAAAACGATGTCAAGAATGACCACATCATCCTCGATCTCCTTGTTGCATTTTATGATTGTTACTATCCAAAAACATGATTGTGAAACTATGATCGCGAACTCTACCTGCAAGTCCTCCCGTTCAGACCCCGGTGCCTTGGGGTGGTACATCGGTCCTGACAAGTCAGAACTAATACTGCTGGACATGCTGCCTGACCACCCTTTGCCGATGGGATCAGGCAGTGGGCTGCTATTGTGATTTCTCCTACTGCCTATATAACTGTTACTCTGCAAGCAGGAGTGGAGCACGATCACAAGGTTAGTAGAAGTGATGGAAACCTAGACATGTCAGGTGTTCAAGCCAGGGAGTAGTGTGCCCAGAGTGAACACTATGCAGATGCTTGTCTAAAATCTTTCTCAAAGATCAGCACAATTTTCTCTCCATTCTTTATTGATATACTAGAATAACAGGCCCATTCATAAACATATCTTTATTTTTAGTCTGGTTTGAGTGAACGATAAAAATAGATATAAAACCAAATTACACTGTCCTTTCATGGTTGAAACAGGCAGCTGTACCACCAGTATACTACTCAGTGCCATCTAAACACTTCTGGAACCTTGCAGCAAGAGGGCTTCCCTTGCTGTGTAAGTATGCTCAGGAAAACATCACTTCCAGCTAAAAGTTAATTTAAAATAGTTTCAGGATTCAACTAAAAATATCAATGGCTTGCCCAATTGCTGTCAGTTTTTAATGTAGAACTAAAGTAAACTGTTCAAAAGACGCAGTTAGATTGGTTGTAGTTTTCCAGACAACAGAATGGTTGCATGTGTGTCCAGGGTATGTATCATAATAGAACACAGGTAAAATACACTGGATAATTCAGGATGGTCTGCAGTAGAAAGTGGAAATCTGCTTATCATTTTATTCTGAGCACGAAGAAGAAAACAAGAGACTTCTGTTCTTTTTTGGAGTTCATTTTTTCATCCTTTACAATCTCTTACAATCACTCTATGTATGACACATATACTCCTCAACAAGTGAAGTGAAGGCAACATACGTAACCCTGTGTCCCCAAATGTTTGGTGTCCTTATTCATGCTAATCACAATAACACAATGAGATATACGTCTCTTTTTTATTATTTTCTTCCATATTGATGTATTCAGAAGCTTATTTGCTGTTTAAGTATGTCGTCACCTAAAGTTGGACAACCTGATATAACGAGAAGTGTTTAGATCATGTGTAGATAACATATTGTCTAGGGTTGAATTGTACATTAAGCTCAGAATTAATGTATTTGCCTTCCCGATGTTTGATAAACACATACAACAGTGCGGCATCTGTAGCTTATTCGCTTGCTTCTACACATTTCCCTTGGCTTCAACAAACGACTTGTCCCAGGTTTTAGTGGAATCTTCATCAATAGCAATGTAAGAGTATCAGAAACGATAACCAGTTTGGAAGCAGCACATTGCACGTCTTATTGAATGAGGAAATCGGTCACACAAAACTCAGCATATGATACATTTGGTTTGCTCAGTTCCTTCTCACTATGCATGTGTTTATCAGAAGATTCCACTATCATAAAAATCAAAACAAACAGCAACAAAAAACTTGATTTGAAGAAGCATAAAACAAAAAAACAATTACATGTCATCAATTATGTCCAACAACAGGTGAGAAAATACCTTGATATACAAACCAAATTTAAAAGCACCAAACAGCAAAATAAAATCTATTAAATTTCGTTAAAATGTATACACCACAAGTAAACAGCCATGCATGATGTACAGACAAAATTGCTCAAGTGCAGGAAAGTATTTGTGATAGAAACACTGAAACTGGTGCACAAATGGACAAGGTGCAAGAATGCAAACCAATGTAACCATGGTAATGCCGGGCTGGGAATTGACAGTGTGTACAGCCATTGAACACAACACAGAGGTCATCCCAACAGAAGCCACAAATGAACTGATCCCAGCTTTGTCACAGAACTCATTTGAACCCTTTCAATCAAAAGATGTCCAATAGAGATATTGCAGCTGATCTTAAGAGCTGAGAAAAGATACAATCACATATATGCTTAGATCATACAGCAGGATCATTTTAAGCTTCTACTGGACTACAGCAAGGACCTTTAGGGAACATGAACACTTATACTTACATGATTTGATGATATGCTATTAGCTCTTTCTTTTCCTATAGGATTAGGTAATTTTCCTTGGAACGAAGATTTACCATTCTGCTCCTGGTGAATAATTGTCTAAACGAAGAAAAGGATCTTTATAATCGTTCTATTCATGCACTCTTTTGTATAATATAGACAAATATCTTTGGTCCAAAGTACATTAACTTCAAAACAACCAAGCACATTCTCTCTCTCTCTCTCCAAAACATGACCTAAATTTTTAACAAAACAGGTGAAATGCCTTTATTTTACAAAAACAAACACCATGAACATGATGAACACAATTATCAGTTTTACCCATAACATAATTTTTCAGATCTATGAGAACAATCTCACATGTATCTTCAGTTTGTGGCTACAGTATTTTAAACAAACCTCTTAATAATTTAATTCAGTTTTGAGGTTTCTTCATAAAACAGTTGTTTCTCACCTCTATTTTAAAGCTATTTTCTTCTGCAGTATTATTGTCACCATTCTTGTTACTATTGCTGGGGGGCGTGTCAGGTAAAACATTGGATAGGAACGCAGCTAGAGAGTTATCAGAGGCTGGAGTCATATCACGATCTGTTGTCATTTCATCTGCAATGTGGAAAACAGTCTCATCAACATTTCATAAGACATCAGACATGACAAATAATTCAGAAATTTCTACTGATATTTAGTGATAATGGATATGGAATGTCAACTTATGATTTCACTATATCACCGAGGAGGCATGTTGGGAAAAAAGCCTGAAGCAAACAGCACTACAACGTCTCAACCATCCATGTCACCAGCGTATGATAACACAATCGTGCAGGTCACAGTTAGTGAGACAAGGGTAAACTTGAACATCAGAAATATGTCAAACCTATAGATATTCTGAAACAGACTCAATATGCATAGATCTATGCTGATAAAATGTAGTTACTGTCATGAAAAGGAGGAAATATGTCAGCAAATTCCTGCTGATACCCTGTGCAATGGAGAGCATGTCAGACTTATTTCAGCGGATATCCTGTGCAATGTAGAGCATGTCAGACTTATTCCTACCGATACCCTGTGCAATGTAGAGCTTGTCAGACTTATTCCTACCGATACCCTGTGCAATGTAGAGCTTGTCAGACTTATTCCTGACGATACCCTGTGCAATGTAGAGCTTGTCAGACTTATTCCTACCGATACCCTGTGCAATGTAGAGCTTGTCAGACTTATTCCTACCGATACCCTGTGCAATGTAGAGCTTGTCAGACTTATTCCTACCGATACCCTGTGCAATGTAGAGCTTGTCAGACTTATTCCTGACGATACCCTGTGCAATGTAGAGCTTGTCAGACTTATTCCTACCGATACCCTGTGCAATGTAGAGCTTGTCAGACTTATTCCTGACGATACCCTGTGCAATGTAGAGCTTGTCAGACTTATTCCTACCGATACCCTGTGCAATGGAGAGCATGTCAGACTTATTCCTACCGATACCCTGTGCAATGTAGAGCTTGTCAGACTTATTCCTACCGATACCCTGTGCAATGTAGAGCTTGTCAGACTTATTCCTGACGATACCCTGTGCAATGTAGAGCTTGTCAGACTTATTCCTGACGATACCTTGTGCAATGGAGAGCATGTCAGACTTATTCCTACCAATACCCAGTGCAATGGAGAGCATGTCAGACTTATTCCTGATGATACCCTGTGCAATGGAGAGCATGTCAGACTTATTCCTGATGATACCCTGTGCAATGGAGAGCATGTCAGACTTATTCCTGCAGATACCCTGTGCAATGTAGAGCATGTCAGACTTATTCCTGATGATACCCTGTGCAATGTAGAGCATGTCAGACTTATTCCTGATGATACCCAGTGCAATGGAGAGCATGTCAGACTTATTCCTGATGATACCCTGTGCAATGGAGAGCATGTCAGACTTATTCCTGATGATACCCTGTGCAATGGAGAGCATGTCAGACTTATTCCTGATGATACCCTGTGCAATGTAGAGCATGTCAGACTTATTCCTGATGATACCCTGTGCAATGTAGAGCATGTCAGACTTATTCCTGATGATACCCTGTGCAATGGAGAGCATGTCAGACTTATTCCCGATGATACCCAGTGCAATGGAGAGCATGTCAGACTTATTCCTGATGATACCCTGTGCAATGGAGAGCATGTCAGACTTATTCCTGATGATACCCTGTGCAATGGAGAGCATGTCAGACTTATTCCTGATGATACCCTGTGCAATGGAGAGCATGTCCGACTTATTCCTGATGATACCCTGTGCAATGGAGAGCATGTCCGACTTATTCCTGATGATACCCTGTGCAAAAGGGAGCATGTCAGACTTATTCCAGCGAATGTCCTGTGCAATGTAGAGCATGTGAGACATATTCCTGCAGATACCCTGTGCAATGTAGAGCATGTCAGACATTCCTGCAGATACCCTGTGCAATGGAGAGCATGTCAGAATTTAAAGATATCAGATACATCATTCAGTAAACTAATGCTTACTTTCAACATGAGCAAATGCACAAAAAGGTCCTCTTGGGCAATAACCAGTTTGAACCATGTCATTGCATTTAGTTGACTTGTAAATCTGAAAACACAAAACAAACACACTGAGTAGCCCATTAATGAAGCATTGTTTAAAAGAATATACCATATTCAACATACCTGCCCAGTATTGAAGAAATAATAACACAATTAAACTGTTTCTGAAATTGCCTTCAGTGATTATCTACACAACTGCGATCTTCAGTCATCATCTTATCTATATCTCATTCTTAATTCTCACTAAAATATACTAATGAAAAGGCCAAATGAAAACAGGCATTAATGTTGTATGCTTATCAAATCATTCTTTCAGTTTGAAACCACAGAACATCAAATAAAATACACAAATCTTAGACAATTTGCTTTTTAAAATATTAACATAATCATTAATGAAAAAAATATAAAAAATTATTACTCACTAAAGAATCTAGCTATTTGATTGGCCAGTTGCTGTCTTGTAAAAGCTCAAACAGGTTGGTAAGCCTGTATGGATGCCATCGTATCCTAATTTTGTGGATCGATGCTCATGATATTAATCACTGGATTGTCTGGTCCAGACTCAATTGTTTACAGATCGCCATCATATAGCTGGAATATTGCTGAGTGCGGAGTTAAACAACAAACAAACAAATCATAATATTTGATGCAATGTTACTTACTTGTCAAATCATTATTGAGTTGACATATTGAAAATCTGGTGGCGGCCACAAGACGGATGTAATTGTCAAACAAAAAACCTCACAATACCACCCATCTCTTACACATCAGAGTAGTTTATTACATTATTATTTTATTTTCATCATGGTGGATGCATGACCAAAGTCGGAACCTGAGCTTCATCCCACAACACAAACTAAGACTGTCACAGCTACATATCTAAACATAGCCTGGCAGTGTATCACTGTGGAAAAGGCTGTTTCAAATCTAGCAATGCCTTCTGGGGCACGATGACACACAACCAGCCAGGTCACCAACTGTAACCACTCAATCGTATTAATTGTGTTAGTGTTACCTCAGGATGAAACTGTTGTTCTGTTCTGGTGTGGCAGTACGCACACCCGTCTCCACTCTCACACAGTGCAGGGTCACCCCACTCATCTCCATGCTTCACATTAGGACACGGTGTTGATCTGCAATGAGAAATTATACCAGGGATGTAATGACACAATGAGTGAAGGAATGTTGTCTTATGCCAAAGGAACCCTCACCATACAGCTGAAAACTACTAATCAGCAGAAATGAAAGCCAAAAACTATCCATCATTTATCTACAATCAGTTTTCACTTTTGTTTGAACAACTTATTGAAAATTTTGTTGTGCCATATCATGTAAACATAGCAATAAGGTAATCATGGTAATACAATCAGATAGTACAGTCATCCACTGTCCTCAGTTCTGGGGCAAAATACACCAGTCTCTTTTATCAACACAAAGAGATGCCTTTTCAGAGATTATGTCATCTCACCATAATACAGCTGAACTGGTGGTGCATTAAAAGGAAAAGAATTTGCAAGTACTTGCAAAAACAGAAGCACCCCCTTACCACCATTTCAAGAAAGCTCCAGAAATCTTGACCTTTTATCAATATGAAGATGTCCTCAACTCAAACTCTCCTAAACCATAAGTATCTATTCACATTTCAGTGTTCTCAACACTTACCTGTATTTCACAGATTTGGGACTTCGTCTTCGATCTCTAGAGTTATGAAACTGTGGACATGCATAGCCTTGCCTACATAATCTAGGAGGTCGTTTACACTGTTCTGTTTTGTAATTTGATAAAACATAATTTGTATCTGCAAGAGAAAAAAGAAGAATTAGTTTTGTAAGTTAACAATCAGTGACCATAATGACTAAATTAGGTATACATCGAGTTTGCCTAATTATTTTGTTGCTGCAACTTTGCACCTTGTAACAGTCCTGACAAAAGAAAAACATATTTACAAAGAACACCATTATCAAGTTTATACATGTTTAGGTGAACAACAACATGGCTAGTTCCTGTTCTTAAGGTTATCTGTCAAAATGCAAAGTATGTTTGAGTCTGCCAGCCTGAAATTGTCTCTTGCAATTGTTATCAGGTTATAGGTTGAGCTGAGAGTCAATATATTCAGAGACATTCATTATTTAGCATACTAGCCCAAACATAATTTTACTTGACTCTTGAATTGGACTGGTGGCAAAAGTCGCAGTCTGTCAAATATTTCATGTGTTGGCCTGACAAGACAGGGTTATGTTTGCAAAGGATATTTTCATTTATTTGAACAACAAGAAAATATTGACATGTTTGAGGGAAAGGAAAAGAAACTATGAAGGCTTGAAGTACTGGAATTAGATGGCGCCTAACCAGACTTGCTTACATATTCATGAACACAACAATCAAACTGCAACTACATCAAGAACCGCCTGTTGTTTACCAGGCTCAAACGTATTTGCATATTTCAATACAATATCACTAATTATACCATAATTTGTGAGGTCATAGATCAAACATCCTCTTTCAGCATAAGGTACAATTTGCCAACACAAATAAAAATTGATTTTTTTCAATAAAAATACAGTGGTTGGTTGGATCATCTTTGAAAAGTACTATGGTTTGGTTTGTTTGTTTAACGCCGCACTCAGCAATATTCTGGCTACATGACGACAGTCTGTAAATAATCAAGTCTGGGCCAGACAATCCAGTGATTGATATCATGAGCATTGATTCACGCAATTGGGAAACAACGACATGCATCAACCAAGTCAGTGATGTCGACCATCTGATCCCGTAAGTCACCTCTTAACGCAAGCATAGTCGCCATTTACGGCAAGCATGGGTTGCTGAAAACCTTTTCTAACCTGGATCTTCACCGGTCGAAAAGTATTATGACTACACATAGTTTATACACAGGTGATAACCATGTCCAAAACCTGATTACATTAACCTCACAAGATATTGCATGGGGAGAAATTAGCACTAGCCGTGAACCAGTTATGTTAATGTCAAAGTTATCTTTAAGGCCAGTAGAATTTCAAGTATTTTGCTGGGTAGTGCTATATGTTATCACTATTCGCGCTAGTAGACCTTTTTTGATAAATTTCTTTTCCTGTTACTTTGACAAAAGGACAGGACTGCTGAAATAAAACCATCACTGTGTAAAATTTGTGTATCAAAATTATTACAGAAATAATTCCTTTATGTGGAAAATAATATTTTCTTTACTTGATACATGTACGACTGAAAAAGTACCCAGAACCATTTTCAACACTTTTGCTCAAGGAAGAATTTACGTTCACTTTGGAATTACAAGTTTAGCAAACATACAAAGATAATAGGTACTTAACATGATCAACACATGTAAGACGTGAATAGATGTATCACTTCTTAATAAAACTTATCAATTAATTAAAGATGATTGTTATGAATAGTAAAGTTAACAATAGTTGTAAGACAGCTGAGTGATAGACTAGCATGAAGTCTCTGAAATGAAAACATTTTGCAGATACAAAGTTGTTAATTTATCTAAAAAATAAAATAAAAAGGAGTCCAGAGACTCTTCATTTTCAGAAACTGCAGCAATCTACTAGACTTGCCAATTGACTTTCACAGGCTGTATTGGGTATATTTGTTTCGAGGTCAGATTAGTGAGTGATGGTAGGTTGTCATGCTGCTATTACTACAGTCCTGATATATCACAACCGCAAGACCAGACACTTAGTACTAATGTGGGACGTGACCCCAGTGTGGTAAGTGAATGCTTGTACCCTTTGCCCCTTAAGGATGTGGAACCACATAAAACATCATTTTAATTCTCTGATCCCTTTATCTCCATGGCAACAGTAAACTAAATTTAAAGTTTACAGATATCAATCACACTTTTAGAAATTTGAAACTGGACCAAAAAAGGACGAACAAGACCAGAATAACCAGTTGTTTCACATTACATCCATTAACAAGTGTTCACTTACAGAAATAGTTCTTGCAAACTAACTGTAATCACCGCATGTGCCGTTAATCCAAGGCTCATCTCACGAGTGTTCGTGTATCAGAGGTCATGATGACACAACATGACCTGACATTGCACAAACACTTCTCCACAAAGGTCATCATTATCATCTACAGGCTGTTGAAACAGCAGCTTCACATGGAGACAGCATTACTGGATTCGTTCAGCTTTCAAACAAACCAGTATGCCAGTTTGCAAACGACAATTTCTGAGTCAAATGTCGGGATGCAGGATGAATCACACGTTGTTGACTGATCACCATCATCATGATCATACATAGGGTGCACATCTAGCAGTTTGTCGAGCAACAGCCTGTTCCCATCACTTCCCCTGATTCATTGTTAGACCAGAACTAATAAATTATGTACAAATAGTGAATAATGATGCTCTATTCAACTGAAATTTTACCTATTTTGAACATTTGCTAGTTTCATTTCCAAAAACTTATTTTGATATTGTTAAATAGTGGTTACCATGGGTTACCTAAAATCAAACCTTATTTTAATTTTTTTCATGTCTCTTGCATCTTCACATTTTCAAGTAACAGAAGACAAATGCAATTAGGTATTAGAGGTAGTGAAGTGCCAGTTGTTGGGCATCATATTGTTATTAATGAATGCTGCTCAAGAATAGTAATTTGTTTAGAATGCCATTTGTTCAGTCCTTAAAATATATCAACTAAAATTAGATAGTTCATACAAATCTTGAGCCAATAAATTTAAGGACCTTTCAAGGCAATGACCACACTTTTCAAGGATTAAACAGTAAGACCAAAGGGTACTATAGAAAGAACAATTCAGACATTTCTACTTTATTTCATGGTTAGAATTTGTAAATCTAAACATGCTAAATACACTATTAATATTAAATAAAAACCTAAAATATTTTAGCACACACCTGTATCATTCCCTGATATGGTCACTCATACTAGTGTATTTGGCAAATGTTAAAGCATTTTCATTGCAAATTCATAATTTCAAGTATTGTCAGTTATTGTCACAGCGCCAAAAAAGCTCAGTTCACATACATCATGTCCTAGTTAGACAGAGATGTCTTGCCCCGAAAGTATCCGGATGAGAATTGGTCTTCAGCAACCAAGGCTTGTCGCACGGTCAGGCTTGCTGACTTCGTTGATGCATGGCATCATATCACAATTGCATATATCGATGCTCATGATGTCAATCACTGGACCATCAGGACAAGCCTCCATTATTTACAGACCAATGCCATATAGTTGGAATACTGCTGTGTGCGACGTTGAACAACAAGGTCTAACAATAATTCCATGATGCTAGTGTACGGTTTGGGTCAAATTGTTCACTAATTCACCTGTCATGTTCATCACATTTCAGCATGTTATTTGAATTATCAAGCTCAAACAAAGTATTCAACTGATATAAGGAACAGTATTAGTGTATGGTTTAGATGAAGGCATTTATCTAAGAGGAACTCCAAGTAACCATGGTAACACAACCATGAAACAGAAGGAATGGGACCTAACAGAACTACTGATTCATGACATGATCATGATAATAATTGACATGTCAATCATATTCCTGACTTGTGTAATTGCAGTGTTCCGGCTGGCTTTTGAAACTGACAGTTCTGGTGGATTTTTTCAGCTCTAAAAGTTACCAGTCCTCCCTACTTTTTGTCAGTCCCAACTTTCAACCAAAAAAAACATATGAACATTGCCTGTTTTAAATTCTTTCAACATCATCATGATCATGTTCAATGCAATGACGTCATCTCTGAAGTAACGTAATTAGATCTACACGTCAACCACACAAAGTTTAATCACAAGTTTCTTCTATTTAATATTTCGTGACTAAGACTAAAGAATATATTTAACGTCGAAGGACAGCAAAATGTTATATCCTTGCACTAAAAATAGACAAGGGGAAAGCCTGATGGTAACAGACAAGCTGACTTCATTCGAAAAATATACTTATTTGAATATCACTGATGTTTTGTTCAGCAACAAAGATTTATAAGGTTCTTTACATGCCAGTCCACAGGGATTGGCATTCACATGAATTACCAGTCCAAGCCAAATTGTACCGGTACAAAAATGGTAATTACCAGTAAACAAGAACACCGTAATTGACAAGATCAAATGTCATAAAATGTCATGAAAAGAGCAAAGAAAACCCTCAGATTATTTTGTTTAAAAATGTCATTATTTCATTCCTTAGTAATAGGAAAAATTATTCTTTCTTGTCCTGGTTAATTTTTGGAAAGTATGCAAATGCATGTTCAATCACTTGCTAAAGATGCAATATTCATAGAGAAAGAGAGAACAATTAATGAACTATGTTCCTCTGAAAAGCCTGATGTATTTATTTCATCTAAATCGACCACCTTTACAATTATCAGTTGTCAAAGGCGCACAGACTTTGACAACATATGTATAAGAAGCATTTCTAATTTGGGATCCTGACTGACACTGGCAACATTACATCAAGGTTTAAAGCAGGACAAGGCTCTGGCAAGGCTCATGCCAATCAATTTTTGTCAGTGTTATCCTAATTACACAAAAAATATTGTGCTAGTTTTACACAAAGCACTATTTTTAATGTCTGGATCCAGCCTTGAAATTGGTTCCAGGCAATGGAAAAGGTTCCCTTTTATTAGTAAAAGGCAAGGAAAGGTATATATTTATGTCACTCTCACGAGCATAAAATGAGTGATAATGAATATTTTAATGATACTTTTAACACAACCCCATCATTGATGGTTACCAGGAATGGACCTCATTCCCGGTGTTCACGTGTGAAATTGATCCTGGATTTTGGTATGATAATCGAACGGTTTAACCACTTGGCTATTCTACCAGTCCTTCTGTATCCCATCTTTGACCACACTACATGTGCTATGGTTTGACCAAATCTATGGGCTTCCAGTAACATAAACAAGGGAATATCAAAATGGATAATCATCTTGATATTCCAAAAAAAATGTATAATCCTAATAAAGCTTACCATTCCACTTGGGATCTTCGGCTAATATTTTTTCCTTCTCTAGACTGCTAGGTGAAGTTGACACTTTATCTAGGACATCCATGGATTGCAGCTCATGAATATCATAAACTGGTGGCCGAACATCCATTGTTCCATGGGCAAATGCACAGTGAGGGCCATTTTTTGTACAATGTCCACGAGGATCTGTCTCATAAACACAAGTCCCTGTCTTGTAATATCTCAAGTGATATCTTCTCTCTGTGTCCCCTGCAGTCCGGTGTAGGAAAGGGCAACTGAAAACAAATGTGTTTTGTTTATAATGGTATGAGGTTAGAACTGACATCAACGAATGACAACATGTAACTGCACAATAATGGTAATCACCTAAAAAAACAATGCTCACTTTCATTAGCAAATAAACAAAGATCAAAAACATAATTGATCATGTTCACAAATCCCAATTCTGCCATATGTGACTAAAACAGTAAACAACAGACATGACAGATGAATGGACAACTTGACAAAGGGTATCAATTTTTTAGAGAAAACAAAACCCTGAAGCAATATCGAACTGTCATAAGATACTTTGGCTTTTCTTGTAGGGATGGGTAAACTAATATTCATGGTTTTCAGTGTTTGAAATTAGGACTAAAAGTCAAGGGGCCCTTGTCATATTTGATGAATGAAATATTAAATTCAAGATGAAGGAGGTCCCTTTATGAAACTGTTATACTGAAGCAGTAAACCTCAAAACACCCTCTTAATATCTAATGAGGGTGCACACACATACCACAGTCCATAAGCTTGTGTTTTTAATCCTTAATTGATGTATGTATCAAAACACATTTGACGCAGATAAGGTTATTGCTGTCGATACCCTTTAGTTGTCATTTCAGGTGCACCTGACAACATGTACTACATTTTTGTCCAAAATACTTTAATCCTGAAGCTGACAAAACACATGGGACATGGAATGCAATATTTGGTCATAAAGAAAATACATACACATATGCTTTGTCATTATCATTCACTGATGTTTCATTAAAAAACAATTGCAGATACAAAACTAAATCTTTCACAGCATTGTGCAAGTTCACATTTCCAAGGCCATGACGATATGTGTATATTGTCAAGAATAGATAACAACATCTGCTTGAAAAAAACGGGTCTCAATGTAAGGAAAATATAATACTAAACTTAAATCCCCCTGTAAGTTACACAGATCAAGAATGGCAAGGCTTGTTTCTGCAATGCACTGCATTCTCCACTGGAAAACAGTAAACAAAGGTCAAGGCCACTCGATGACCCATATTCTGGTACACTCACAGCTGATTTCCGTTTCTTCCGCTCATTATCTTCTAAATCCCGCTGACAAACATGTTCTTCTCAAGCTTCTTATATAGAGTAATACTAAAATAGTGACCTTACTACCAAAGATACACTGTTCGAAAGGCAACGTTGGGAAATCGACTTCAAAAATGATTTTGTTTGACAGTCTTCCGCGAAATATGGGAAGTGAACACAATGGAGAAACGTGCTGACATCGCAATGTGCTGATAGATTCAAGTCCTACGAGGCGATGACAGTTGACATAATACTAAAATATCGAATGATTGGATGCTTTAATGAGATTTTACATGTTTTAAGAGCCCCTGTACCCCTCAGATCACAGGAAACTTAGAGTGAAAAATTCCTATTACGACACTTTGTTGTAGTGAACCTCATCAAAATGGCCGCCATTTTTGTTTACAACATGTCAAATTTCTCATCTTCATATCCACATACAGAATGACGTATAGAACATGACAACTGTTTCAGAAAATGAACCAAACCATACCCTGGCTGAAAATACATTCCGTTCCGTCCTTTACTAACCAGTTCAGAGCCTAACTTGCAACTTTCTTTCACCAAATGCCCGTATGGCGATTTCCCACCAAAATTCAAACGATATGATAACTTACTCATCTCCATCGGGACAAATGCCTGTTGTCTCATCATACTTGGTGCAGTAAATGTCCGGACTATAATTGAAGGTCCCGTCTCTTCTCCGGACGGGTCGGCGTCTCCGTTGATTCAGAAAGTGCCAATGAAAACATGTGAATGGCCGGTGTTGAGTGCACTTGTGTTGCAGGAACAGTGTACACTGTTGAGTTCTAAATTCTTTCAGATACCTGAAACGCAATTAAATACAATATCATTGTTTCGACAACACTTTTTAGACATTGCTTCGTCATTTTCAAGACATGTCTTGCTCTAGAGACATAAGGAACTTACATGTAATGGGGCGGTTTTTCCGTTTGAGTTGGTAGAAGCGGTGCTTCCGACGGCATTTTTGTTGTTGTCAATAGTGGGTTTTACGCGCATCCATGTTGCGCATAGTGAATCACGAGTAATGATTGGTTCATAGCGGTCACATGGTCGGGACTTCCCCTTGACAGAGCTCCTCGCACCTGTCAGTACGATGTTTACATCGTGTCTATTCAAAACATCACATTCCTGAATGCGATTTTTATGATCACACAAACGTTAACACATACTGTCATCAAAATCATCAGTAACCGATTTGAGTTTAAAGTCTGATGATTGTAAGGCAACTATGAAGAACGGTACTATTTTTTAAGAGGGTAAATAATGCCGTTAACATTACGGGATTTCATCCTGTACATCAAGGAAGACCTTTAAATTCTATTCCATTCTTTTTCTTTAAAAAAACGCGTAAGTAGAAATATTTGAGATATCGCACGAAATATTCATTACAATCTATCTTTGCACATAAGACAACAAACAATCCAAATTATATAATGGTATGGAAGAATAGCCAGTCTGTCAAACAAATACCTGTGAGTATAAGTATTACCAATTTCCTAATATATATATTTTTATTTGAGTAATCAAGATTAACACCCTCATAGGATCCCGCTTGTGTCTATATTAGGGTCATCTGAAATTATATTGATGACAAAAGCTCTAGAGTCCGTATTGGACACTTCAATGGATTGGGTTGTCACGGTCACATCTTTGGCACACACAAAAAAGGAACAAGAATAATAGGTTTTCGTTCACTAGAATACCACGAAATGTGTTTAACTGATATGACCCTGTTGACCAAACATCTTACAATCTGAACTTGAAAAACAAGTTTTGAAACTCTATCAACATGTGTACTTGCTTCTCATATTTCAGGGGGCGGTTGGGTAGCCTAGAGGTTAAAGCGTTCACTCGTCGCGCCGAAGACCAGGTTCGATTCCCCAGATGGGTACAATGTGTAAAGCCCAGTTCTGGTGTCCCCCGCCGTGACATTACTGGAATATTCTAAAAGCGGTGTAAAACCATACTCACTCACTCGTCCTATCGCCGGCGTTTCTAGTGTATACTACCAATCTCACACAAATGCACATATTGTATTCTTGAACATTTATACAAGATATAATTCATCTGACGAGTCATCAATTAATAAAGTACTTTCACTCACCTTTGTTTAAAAACATTTGGTAAGTGTAGGACATAGGCCATATGGTCTCAGTGTCGGATAATTTAGAATATGTTAACTCCCTGCTTTCATGTGATAAGCTCAATTCTCCTTAATGTTGTGGTGAGGTAAAGTTAAATAGGGTTTAAACGTCAGTTCAAGAATATTGCACTTATAGAGCGACGTGCATGCGCGCGCGCGTGTGTCTGCTTGTACTCGTCCGGACTACTGCCGGTTTTATAATGCTAATCCACTTAGATAGCATGCTTCAGTTTAACATGGATGCCCCACTGAGACACAGTATACTGACTTCGTGCCGACAAGTCCTTCTTTTATCCCCTTATGTCGAGCACCAGCCAGGGTATCAACAAGTACCATCTCAAGTTAACGTCTTTTGGTATGAGGCGACAGAGGATCGATCCGCTGACCTTCCGCTCTCCGGACAGACCCTCTATCCCCTACACCACGGAGGCGGTCCTTTAATGTTGTAAGTTGTGGAAAAAAAATACAGAATGGTGGGAGATATTAAAAAAAAGAAAGATTCATCTCATGAATGCAAACGTTTATTATAGAGGCGAATAACTTGATATATGTGAACAATTCTAAAAAATGACACGAGATGCAATATTTAACAACAATATTCGTCACGGGTCAGGTGAACGTTTTTTTTGTGATTGATATTTTATTTCTGAGTCCCTGTTAAAGATAAAACCAGACACCCAGAGAAGTGCCTGGGGCCGTTAAGAAAAGATATACACACAATTTTAGAAAACACAAGCAAGGTTATTACATGAGTTTCAGCAGCTATTGCTATGCAGAATCATACTGTTTGTTACATTGATATTAAGGGTGTGGATATTATGGACTCCGATTTGATAATAGTGATTTGATATAATCCTGTGGATAATTCTGAACTGAAATATCTCAATTTGGTATCTTAAGTATTCTTACGTGATTTTACAGACAAATATTATCACTCTAACTCAGCAAGAATGCATTCCTCCCACTTATTTTTAATTTGTGGTGAGTGCCAGATTGATTCAACATAAAATAGTAAGAATTTGCTCATTTCCTAACTGATAGCAATATTCTGGGTCAGGTAAACTTTGCATGATTACAGAGACGAAACAATATATATATATACCTCCTACCTATATATATACCTCCTACCTACCTACCTCCTACCTTCTCATCTACAATCTATCTATCCAGTCATCCTACTTACCCATCACCTGAAATTTCTGAAAATCCACCCTACCTACCTATCTTGCCACCCTACCTACCTATCTTGCCACCCTACCTACCTATCTTGCCACCCTACCTACCTGTCTTGCCACCCTACCTACCTGTCTTGCCACCCTACCTACCTATCTTGCCACCCTACCTACCTATCTTGCCACCCTACCTACAGATCACCTGAAAGTTCTATTCAGCCATCCTAGCTTCCTATAATCTATCTAGCCATGCTTCCTGTCGATCATATGTCTATCTAGCCATCCTACCTACCATATATCTGGACAGGACTGTTTAGCAAATCATTTCTGACACTACCTGTCAACAGTGGTATAGAAATTGTAAACCAAGCCAACACGAGTTGTCTCCACAGTGACCTGCTTTTGCCCCAGGATAAGTGTCAATCAGTGTTGCTTCAAGAACACCTCGGCGAAGAAGTGCTTGAATCTCCGCCAACGTCACTTGTTTTTTGCTGGCATTTTTTGGAAGCAGGTAACAAGAAGCAAATATGCAACTTTCACTTTTGCAGCGTGCCTTGAATTGTGTTCCGTTTTGCATTGACCCGAAATTGGCTTCTCAACTGATACGAGTTGAAAGTTTGCAGTTGTAGATCTGAATCTCAACTCTAATGGGGTCAATCGTTTCATTTACGTTCACGGTCGGGTATGCTGTGGATTCGGGATGGGGTTAAGTAACATCAACTGAGCTCTTTTTGTGTCAATGTAAAATTGATCTGAAACAGACATACAGGACAGATTTGACAGGAAGATAATATTACCATAACAAAGCAACACGACTGAGAGAAGCACTCATAAAATGGCTCTGCCTTGTCCCTTTTCGAAAGTTTTTCAGCAGTAAGGTTGTGACATTGTATTAGTGGTCTACAATGTATTTGATCGGTGTACTGAGAACATTAGAGTTTTACGTAAGATATTGGTTGCTTGGGTCTTTTGTTAGATCATGGACACTATGGTTAAATTGAAAATCTTCTTTTTTATCAGCCACTGCTTCTAAACATCATGCAACAATTGATTTTTTTGGCACTGCACACTTTTTTCAGGCATCATCAGGTCCAACGGACAATTTCCCTCAGTGTGTGTAAATTGCTACAAGTTTTTCTCTCTGTCCCACAACTGCAAGGTTCCACATGGATAAGTCACAACACAGGACATTGTTTTGATTTTGACCCGATACAGCAGAATCTGTCACGACATAGTCACGATTAGGGGGCACGGGTGGCCCAGTCGTCTAAGGCGCCACAATTCGCTGTGCAGAGTTGCGTCCCTTGGGCAGGCCAGAAACCTATGATTGTGGGTTCGAACCCCGTTCGGCCCAATTATGTTTCTAGGTTTGTCAGCACCATACCTGTGCTCGTGGGTTTCACCAAAGTGGTAAACCTCTGAGACCTGCATCACTTCGGGCTTTCCTCCAACATTAAGCTGACATGCCATGATATAACTGGAATACTGTTGAAAGCGGGTTAAAACCCAACTCACTCACTCACTCACTCACTGAATATTTTATGGTTTCTGAACAAATAAAAGAACAGTTCAATGTATGTATAGCCAGTGACTTTAAAAAAATGGGCTAGTAATATTTCTGTAAAGCTGGCCTGAGTGTCTAGCCGAAAACTGTAGTTAATACATATTTATTAATGTCAAAGTCAGTTGCAATTTTCTTTTTATTTCATATTTTATCAGAAGTGTTTTGGGCTAGTACAATATGATAAGGACTTTTGTTAAGAAGCCAGCTGGCCAGTGAACATATTTATAGGAATAAGATTTGAATCCAGATGTGTAATTAACTGCATTTGAAGTTCAGAATAAACCCTTGCCTGACAGTATCAGTTTATGTGTATTTTTATAAAATTCTATAAAAGAAATACTGACATTTTATATCCATGTACAGCGAAAGTGTGTTGGTCGAGAAACTTTGCTTTTAGAAATGTCTGTGAATGATTAAAGTGACAATACAAAGTACCAATGATCCGTTAATCTTGATTTCACTTTGAACAGTATTGTCTGGGTTGAAAGGGTTGGACTGAATGTATATCATGTCTTTTACAATTCTTTTTACCAATTATTGTAAGTATATCAAGTTTGTTATCACTTGTAAGTTTGTGGAGGCTATCAATGTATTAATTACCATATAGGTTCAATGTCATTTTAGAATGTTCTTCATCACTAACATTGGACTCCTGTTGATTGTATATTCAGTCCTAGCAATTCAATCAAATGCCCCTTAAATGTATTCAAACTCAAATTTCATGATGTAGACCAGTCTGGCTATATGGCTAATTATACAGGGACAATTAATCAATTTCATACAGGCCATAAGGTCAAACATCTATACCAAGACTGGAACTTTAGCCTAGTCTCCCTTTTATTACATATAATTATCTCACTAACAAATACAGTAAATGCATTATGTGGCAACACAATTAATGTTTAAATTTTCAGCCAAATTTCAGAAAAAAATGTTGACGTCTAGTTTTTGATTTTGTTCAAGAAATTATTCAAGACATCTGTGTACCATAAGTGTCAACGGATGGGAACATGTCGTGACTTTTTTCATCTGTAGTTACTTGGGGACAAACAACTGATGTGAGGATGGCAGGGATGCAAGCCTAATAATTAACTTACTATGGCCTAACAGAAATGGACTGTTCTTAATTTCCAGGAATCACATCGTAAGCATCAAGATGCTCCAGCGCAGTGTTGGTGCCATACAGCACCAACTCTCATGTTCGGTGAGGAAGTTATGCCCCGAGCACCAGCATCCCAGCCTCTTCGTCCTCCCACCGACCATAACCCACAGCAGAGCTACTCTCTCTACAAACAAATACTCATGTCCTCGTGTTTCTTCACCAGTGTGGGATGTTTATTGTCGCAACACTTACCGTTCATATTGTGGACTATTTTCATATGGATTGCGAGAATATTCGGTTTTTGACGAGTTTACAGACTATGAACACGAGAAGAAGACTTTTAAGCTTGATGTTCCCGAATATTACAACTTTGCCAGAGATGTTATAGACAAGTGGGCTGATGCAGAACAGGTTTGTGGCCGTATTTGATTGTGGGTGTATTCATTTCATAGTGACCAGCAGCAATATTGTGACTTTGCCAACACTTTTTATAGTTTTAGTTTCGTTATCAGAAAAAAAACCAAATAGTTTAAAAAAATGGTATTTTCCTGACACTCCATTTTTGATGGTTTATAAAAGAAAAATATACATCTTCAAAATTCTTGTAATTAGATAACTATTAAGATTTTATATAATATACATCTTCCCAATGCAAGGGAGTTAACTGACTGTAGAAGTCCAGTTTCCACCCTTGCCGAACTAGGCTGGAAGTTTGTGGCTCGATGGTAGCACCACCAGTGGCTATTACGAGTTAGGTCCCTTCTATGTCCCACATATTGACCAATCAGGTTCCACTTCTCATATCACTTGCATTTGCTTCAGTCAAGATGATCTGATCAATAATCAAGATCTTTATCATAATAAAACAGGTCTTATCTCGCGAAGTGCATCAAATCATTTGTGCACCTTGATTAAAAACATGAAAATATTTTTTAAAATATCTGTCGACGCCAAGTTGACGGCACACATGACCTGCAAATCATACAGTCAACCAAAATCTGCACGGCAGTCGTTATATTGTGTTTGAAACGGATGACGATTTCGTGACACGATTTTGATTGGACTATGCATAGTCCAGCTAAAATGCAACTCCATAATTCCTGCCTAATTTGGCAAGGGTGGAAACTGGACTTGTATCTTCTGTTAAGAAGGACCCCCTACTATAACATGGAGGTATGAAGAGGTATGTTACATCATGTATCCAAAATTGGTCATCATTGCACAACATTGTTGTCATTGTATCAAGCTGAAAGAATTCCATGTAAATCAGATTTTGTTCTGATCCTGTTTTGTGTCGTGATTGTGTACTGTGGTATATATTCAGACAGGAGAACGAGACGGAACTGTCCCTGGGTTCTGGTGGGCCCATGAGGATGGACAGCAGGTGAAGTGGACATACCAGGACCTGGCCAGCAAGTCAAACAGGTGACCACAATACACCTGTACCTGTTTCTTTAAGTGCGGGCGGTGGGGTGGCCCCGATTATAAATGTTTCACTTTCACACCGAAAACCCGGGTTTGATTCCCCACATGGGTACAGTGTGTGAAACACTCGCTCGCTCGCTCGCTCGCTCACTCACTCACTCACTCACTCACTCACTCACTCACTCACTCACTCACTCACTCACTCACTCACTCACTCCAACCAACACTCCAACCAACCAACCAACCAACCAACCAACCAACCAGCATGTTGTAGTGACTATGCTTGTCGTAAGAGGCGACTAATGGGATCGGGTGGTCAGACTCGACGGCTTGGTTGATGCATGTCGTTGTTTCCCAATTGCATGGATCAATGCTCATGATCTCAATCCCTGGATTGTCTGGTCCAGACCGCCGTCATATAGCTGGAATATTGCTGAGTGTGGCGTGTTGTAGGTAGTAAAAATATCTAATAGCGGATTTATATATTTTTGACCCCTCTTATCTTTTAAGATTGGCTTCATGTCTTACTTTTGTGGATTTATATTGTTTGTCTGCATTATACCATTGTCAGATATGGTAGTGGGTGTACCTCTGAATATTCTTTTAAGGCTGACTGAATATTAAACTTCCATGATATTATGTTTCAAGGACAGCAAATATCTTAAAAGGCCCATGTGGCTTGCAGCCAGGAGATCGTGCCATTATAATGCTACCCAAGATTCCACAGTGGTGGCTTTTCAATGTTGGGGCTATTCGCTCTGGTAAGCCAGTCTGATAAATTATTATTGTCATATTTTTTACAAATATTTGCCAATTATCTTATCTTAAGCTGTCATTTATATACTTTCCGTTCTCTGCATATCATTATGTTTCCTAATCATCATCATCATCATCATCATCATCATCAACTCATGAATTGTTTTCAAGCCTTGAGGTTGTATAAAAGTATATGCACACTTATGAAATCAATATTGGTAAACAGTATTACATTGTTACTTATTTTTGTGTGGAACTCTGTTATGGATTATTGTATTGTTGTAGTTATGGATGATATTATTTAATATCGCTCTCCATGTGCAATAACATAAGTATTTACATCATATATAGATAACTTTTTGAGCAATTGAGTTTTTATTCTGGGGTTTCTATATTAATTTGGTTATTACATTTTTCTTTGGGTAACCAATATATTTTCACTCAACTATTCATCACTCTGTTGGGTTTTTCCCCAAATTAGTGAACATTTTGAGATTTAAAAAAAATGAAAAAATGTTTTCGATGTACATAACTGTTCTAAATATATAAGCTTGACTCGGAAAGTAAATTAGCTCGTAATTGTGTTTCGGAAATCAACTCCTTTGATTGTTAGCTGAGGCAAAAATATAACTCCATAATTCTCAGCCAAGTTTGGCAAGGGTTGAAGCTGAACCTTTTTCGTCAGTTAACTCCCTTACCTCGGAAAGATGGTACTTGTCAAAATAGGGAATTGCATTGGAAAATGAAAATAAAGTTTAAAAAACATTTCTTTAAAGTGACTTTTTAAAAGGAATTGATTGTCATGTGAATCAAAGAAATAATGAAATGAAAGACAGCATGTCAACAGGTTACTCCCATTCCTCTGTTGGCTGACTTTGATGATTTTACCACCTATGAAATGATGGAACAGACTAAGGAGGGAGAAAAACAGACTGTCCTTTAAATGTTAATCTTCTTCCATACTAGTGAGTCTTCTGTTGACTGTGAACAGGAGTTGTACTGAGTCCAGGGACGATGATGCTGCGCAGCAGCGATCTCTCCCATCGCCTGCAGGCGTCACAGGCAACATGCATCATTGCAGACGACTCAACTGCTGATGTGGTGGACCAGGTACGTGCTTACTCTCAAGGACATTTTACCGGCCTGTAAATAACAGACAAGCTAGTTACTGATATCATGAACAACATCCTACACTATCAGGGCATGATTACGCGAGTGAAATTTCGTAATTCACTGAGCCTGACCCCTCAAGCAGCATAAGCTGCGGAGGACCTATGCTAACCCGGATTCCCATGGGGCCACTGTTACTTAACATTTCAACGTGTGACAACAGGGGGATTGTGACAATGAAGGATTTAGTATTTCGAACTTGTTGTTTCTTGTTTAACCCCTCACTCAGCAAATATTACAGCTACATGACAGCAATCTGTATATAGTTTAGTCTGGACCAAACAATCCAGTGATTGATGAGATGTTCATCAACCCATGCGAATGGGATAGGATGACATGCAGGTCACCTCTTTTGACCAACTTAGGTTGCTGGGGATCTGTATTTTATCTCTGAATCACCACAGCAAGTGTGTGGGTTGGGGGTGGAGGGACATAGTTTATATGGTTAACAGTGTCTTTTGTTTCTTTTCCTGTATTCCATAGGTGGCAGGTCAGTGTCCAAATCTCAGAATCAGACTTCTTGTCAATTCCAAGTCATCAAGGTAAGATATTCAATTAATTTCCTAATTTCCTTAAAAAGAAAACTCTTGTAATTTCCTTTTCGAAGAGGCTGATCTCATTTCATTGTGTGTAGTTGCTTTTTTAGCATGCATAGTTCCATTTTGTAATGGATAGTACCAACAAAAAATATGGGGACTAATGAAATGATAGGAAAGGTGAAATGACGATAAAATTTATTTCGGGCATGTAGATCAATATCTGGTGTGTCCACCATGTTGAGCGATACATGCATGACACCATCAGGGCATAGTGTTGATTAACTTGTGTATGTTTGCTCCTGGTATTGACCACCAGTCAGCCTTAAGAGCCATCCAAGCTTGGCTACATTGGCAGGTCCTGGTCTCTGGCATACGCTCTCCGCCTGAGAACATTCCACTGATGCTCTATAGGGGACATGTCAGCTGGCCAGTCCAATGTCCATATACCTTCTCGTCGGAGATGATCGTAGACAACCGGGGCATGATGTGGTCTGGCATTATCATCTTTCAGTTCAAGATTTCTGCTGATAATTCCAGAACAATGACAGGATTAAAAATTTCATCAGCATGTCGCTGGCTGGTCAATTACCATAATGATCACAATAACCAAATCAGTTTGACTGACACATGTTGCCCCACACCATGACACTACCACCCCCATGCCAAACATGGTCAACAATTGTTGTCCTGGCATGTCGCAACATCGCCAACAACGTTTTCTAGCTGTGAATCGGAGGCAAAATCTTGATTCGTCTATCAACATGGTGTAACGCTTGGCACACAGCCTGTCCCTGGTGTTGCCTAGCCCCCCCCAATCTTTGTCACACTCTCCGCAGGAAGCCTTGTTTTCAGGTGGGCTACATAGAGCCGGTTTTTAAAGGAAGATAGTGAAATTTGCCTTCCTGTTATTTTTACGGAATTCTCAATTGATAACAGTAGCAGATTTGAATCTATTGCATAGTACAATTTATGTAATGAGACGACCTTGTCTGGGTGACAGTTTTTAGGCCTGCCATGCCCAAGTCTCACTGCAACCCGCCACGTTTGACGGTACATGTCCCACAGTTGACAAAATACACTTTTTGATTTGCCAAATATTCGGGCAATTTGGGATATTGACGCCCCCTCTCTGCCTTCTATTGTAGCTGCAAATCACCATATTTATCTGTTCCTTGAGATACTGTCTCTGAGGAATTTTCAAGCGTGTGCTTAACTCAGTTCCATTAGTGATTGTGACTTCCCCAATACACTAGCTTCTGTGTGCAAGTGTGTCACATACTGTTCATGGTTGATGTGAAATTTCATTATGATTAGATGTTGCATTTAGATGCAACACCATGGTTGTGCAAATATACACCTCAGTTATAGCTATGTTCAAATCATAAGTTCCCTTATCTTTTGTTGGAAGTGAAGTTCACTTCATTTCACTGTGGATAATATTTTGTCATAGATAGTTGCATTTTAACATAGATACCATATTCGACGTAAAAAGCGCCCCGGGGCGCTCTCAAAATTGATTGGGGGCCCTTATTAGAATATAATTTTATTGAAAAAAAACCAATTGAAAGGTCGTAAATTTCATGGTTTATGCTGACAGCCCGAAATGATACAAAAGAAAAGTATGTGCGTATTATACACGACAGATATATTTTCCAGAATTTAAATGCCAATAATTAAGGGCGCATATATCACACGATTGCGTATTATACACAAATAAATAAGTCTTGTGTACATTGATCAATCGGAAGGGGTGCTTATTGGGATTGTTCACTAGCCAATATATTAGCAAATATCGCTGTGTGCGCTTATTAGAGCGGGGCGCTTATAACGTCGAATACGGTAGTTGAAAATTACAATGGATAGATGCATATTTTAATGGAAAATGTCACAGTACATTCACAGTTTGATGTAGGAGTTATTGAACTGCTGAAAGACAAGCAAACTGATGACATAACTGATGGCAAAATACAAGAATAGATACATTTTATGAGATGTGTAAATGTATTTTCATTGTTTCAGAAATGGTTGGTTAAATTTTGAGGAATTGTTTGAATCTGCGTCGGAGAAGTTTGAGGTATGCCATATAGATGTACATTTTGTGTAGTGTAATCTGGAGTGGGCATAAGGTCGCAACAGTGTTTTGTAGTAATATGGTTTATGTGTAGAATGGTGCAATTTTTAATTTTTGTTCATAATTGATATGGGATAACATCAAGAATTGTAACCTGACCATGGGCGGATACAGCTTTTTTGAAAAGGGGGGGTGCACAATTAAGATCTATTCATTGTCTTTGGTGGTAATTTATGCAGAAATAAAGATTTTTTTCGAAATAAAAAGGGGGGGTGCGCACCCCCACACCCCCCCTCTGTATCCGTCAATGCTGACTATAACAATATATCTGGATACATAGAAAACATGAACACCGAAAAGACCCTGGGAAATTCACTTTAGTGGACAAACAGGTGTCGGCATACACCATGTCACATGACCAAGCCATCTTCTGGTCCCAATCGATGTCCACTTAATGCCCGTCTACCCTTGTCATGGTGTTCACGATTGTCTGTTTCTGTTAATGATTGTCATAAAGACAACTTTCTGTCACAAATAGCAAACGTTTCACAGTTTAAATCTGACAATAGCCAGTTGCAAAAAGTGTCTAGGAAAATTTCTAGTCCATGTGGCAACTAGTTTTGAAGCTAGCATGCAACATTGGGGTTGCAAGTCAATACCTGCCCAACTATCGCCATCAAGGAAATCCATTACTGGTATGCTTACTATTAGCTAATAATATCTTTAGGCCACAATAAATCAATCATTAGGATTTCATCCTATTTTATTAAAAAATTTGAGGCAGGGGCGTTTTGTTTTCATATTTTAAACTACAAACCGTTCAAGCCACCTAGGTACATTAATGGTCGACAGATTAAATTATGTGAAGCGTGAATGTAGAGCATGACTCTGTGTTTGGTGTATGTCATTGAGTGAAACAACAAAGCAACACATGTAGTGGTTTTCTTCATCTGTAGCTACTTGGGGGTAATTTATTAATGTCGGGTTGTTAGTATGAGGTCTGTTACCGGAAGCAAAAGTTGTACTTTTTGCCAAATAGGATCTTTATGGCTTTATTGATTATTTTGTATGACAGGTTAGATTTTTTTTTGTAGTGTGTGAATACAAAAGGCAGTGACCCAATGACACTGTTCTTCACAAGTGGAACAACAGGGGCCCCCAAGATGACGGAACACACTCATGTCAGTTACGGCCTCGGTCATAGTATCACAGCCAGGTGAGTTCACATCGAGGCATCAGTTTGTTATACAGATAGATACTGGAAGCGGATACTTGACTAAGTATTTCTGAAGCAGAGGGAATGGTGGCCCTTGGTCTAAGGTAATCAACTCTCTCTCTCCATCATTGTGTTTCTAAGTGGTGCCAGGATCCGCTTGTAATTGGTTCTTAGTCCATATTCACCCATCTATGATCCTTGGTCTTTAAGCACCATCTCCATGGTAAATGTCTATCACCTGCATCACTTTGTGTTATACATCTATTAAGAATCCTGCAATTCCATTGGTTAATCTGTACCATTCGGATGTTGACCCCCAAATCATGTGACTGCATGACACTGACCCCAAGTACTGACTCATCACATGATCAGTATTGATCTGTCAAATGATGAATATTGACTTGTCTGCTGTAAAAGAAAATGGCGTCTGGTACTATCATTTCACGATCCACAGATAAGTTACTGAAATGAAACAGGACAGTTTAAAGGATTCATAAACTTTAAAGTGAATTTCAGTATAACAAATTACTGATAATGATTAATTTTGGTTAGACTACGTCAGGGTTTGGGTCCTCGGGTCCTTGTTTTCCCATATTGACCTCGTCAAAAGTGAAAAGTGTTTTAATAGTGTTTTGTATAGTGTTTTACTCCAATACTCCCCCATACATGTATTAAAATGCTAGTCTGGTAAAACTGAAATACTGGTGTGAAAGGTACGTTAAGGGCAACTCATTTCTTTAACATTGATAAAAGTGCTTCAGTTAGAGTGAGTGAGTGAGTTGGGTTTGACGCCTCTTTTAACAGTATTCCAGTTATATCGCGGCGTGTCAGCTTAATGTGGGAGGAAAGCCCGAAGTGATGCAGGTCTTAGACGTTTACCACTTTGGTGAAACCCATGAGCACGGGTATGGTGCTGACAAACCTAGAAACATAATCGGGGCGAACCATGATTCGAACCCACAATCATAGGTTATTGGCGTGCCCAAGGGTCGCAACTCTGCACAGCCAATCGTGGCGCCTGCTTCAGTTAGAAGTTGTTATGTTCTTCTTTGTATACTTCAAATAGTAAGGGCTCTGCTGCAGATACTTCCTTCATCTCACCCAGAAATCAGTGTTCTGGAACATGTCGGACACAGGCTGGGCCAAGTCGGCATGGTCGAGTGTGTTTTCTCCGTGGATCAGTGGATCCTGTGTCTTTGTCTACAACAACCCAAGGTTTGATCCTCAGGAGACAATCAAGGTAACACAACACAGCAGTGACTGAGTAAGAACTATGTTGCATGGCGCAGTGGGTTATCTTTGGACCTGCCATGTTTTGAGTCGCGGCTGGCGTGTCCGGCATCTGTCAAAGTTGAACCTGAAACTAGGCATGTTGTTCCTTCTGATAATGACACTCAAATTTACTCAAGAAGTTTCAACCCAGTTGTCAATACTACTGGTTTTTGGTGTATAGAACACTCACATTACATCTCTAAAATGGCAGTATTTCTCGTGCAACATGTTTCTGCTCTATTTATTATTTCAATATCAGGCAATGGTTAGATTTACATCCAGTTCATATGTGGAGCAGGACCTGGCTGATGGTGTGTGCGGTGTGATGTGGCTGATGATGTGTGTGGTGTGATGTGGCTGATGGTGTGTCCTATGTGATGTGTCCTGAGTGATGTGGCTGATGGTGTGTGCGGTGTGATGTGGCTGATGGTGTGTCCTGTGTGATGTGTCCTGAGTGATGTGGCTGATGGTGTGTGCGGTGTGATGTGGCTGATGGTGTGTCCTGTGTGATGTGTCCTGAGTGATGTGGCTGATGATGTGTGTGGTGTGATGTGGCTGATGATGTGTCCTATGTGATGTGTCCTGAGTGATGTGGCTGATGGTCTGTCCTGTGTGATGTGTCCTGAGTGATGTGGCTGATGGTCTGTCCTGTGTGGTGTGTCCTGAGTGATGTGGCTGATGGTCTGTCCTGTGTGGTATGTCCTGTGTGATGTGGCTGATGGTCTGTCCTGTGTGATGTGGCTGATGGTCTGTCCTGTGTGGTGTGGCTGATGGTCTGTCCTGTGTGGTGTGGCTGATGGTCTGTCCTGTGTGGTGTGGCTGATGATGTGTGCTGTGTGACGTGTCCTGAGTAATGTGGCTGATGGTCTGTCCTGAGTGATGTGGCTGATGATGTGTGCTGTGTGATGTGTCCTGAGTGATGTGGCTGATGGTGTGTCCTGAGTGATGTGGCTGATGGTGTGTCCTGTGTGGTGTGGCTGATGGTGTGTCCTGTGTGGTGTGGCTGATGGTGTGTGCGGTGTGGTGTGGCTGATGGTCTGTCCTGTGTGATGTGGCTGATGATGTGTGCTGTGTGATGTGTCCTGTGTGGTGTGGCTGATGGTGTATCCTGTGTGATGTGGCTGATGGTGTGTCCTATGTGGTGTGGCTGATGGTGTGACTGTGTGGTGTGTCCTGTGTGGTATGTCCTGTGTGATGTGGCTGATGGTCTGTCCTGTGTGATGTGGCTGATGGTGTGTCCTGTGTGGTGTGGCTGATGGTGTGTCCTATGTGGTGTGGCTGATGGTGTGACTGTGTGGTGTGTCCTGTGTGGTATGTCCTGTGTGATGTGGCTGATGGTCTGTCCTGTGTGATGTGGCTGATGGTGTGTCCTGTGTGATGTGGCTGATGGTGTGTCCTGTGTGGTGTGGCTGATGGTGTGTCCTGTGTGGTGTGGCTGATGGTGTGTGCGGTGTGGTGTGGCTGATGGTCTGTCCTGTGTGATGTGGCTGATGATGTGTGCTGTGTGATGTGTCCTGTGTGGTGTGGCTGATGGTGTATCCTGTGTGATGTGGCTGATGGTGTGTCCTATGTGGTGTGGCTGATGGTGTGACTATGATGTGTCCTGTGTGGTGTGGCTGATGGTCTGTCCTGTGTGATGTGGCTGATGATGTGTGCTGTGTGATGTGTCCTGTGTGATGTGTCCTGAGTGATGTGGCTGATGGTCTGTCCTGAGTGATGTGTCCTGTGTGATGTGGCTGATGGTGTGTTCTATGTGGTGTGGCTGATGGTGTGACTGTGTGGTGTGGCTGATGGTGTGTCCTACGTGGTGTGTCCTGTATGGTGTGTCCTGTGTGATGTGGCTGATGGTGTGGCTGTGTGGTGTGGCTGATGGTCTGTCCTGTGTGATGTGGCTGATGATGTGTGCTGTGTGATGTGTCCTGTGTGGTGTGGCTGATGGTGTATCCTGTGTGATGTGGCTGATGGTGTGTCCTATGTGGTGTGGCTGATGGTGTGACTGTGTGGTGTGGCTGATGGTGTGTCCTACGTGGTGTGTCCTGTGTGGTGTGTCCTGTGTGATGTGGCTGATGGTGTGTCCTGTGTGGTGTGGCTGATGGTGTGTCCTGTGTGGTGTGGCTGATGGTGTGTGCGGTGTGGTGTGGCTGATGGTCTGTCCTGTGTGATGTGGCTGATGATGTGTGCTGTGTGATGTGTCCTGTGTGGTGTGGCTGATGGTGTATCCTGTGTGATGTGGCTGATGGTGTGTCCTATGTGGTGTGGCTGATGGTGTGACTGTGTGGTGTGTCCTGTGTGGTATGTCCTGTGTGATGTGGCTGATGGTGTGTCCTGTGTGGTGTGGTTGATGGTCTGTCCTGTGTGGTGTGGCTGATGGTCTGTCCTGTGTGATGTGGCTGATGGTGTGTCCTGTGTGGTGTGGCTGATGGTGTGTCCTATGTGGTGTGGCTGATGGTGTGTCCTGTGTGGTGTGGCTGATGGTGTGTCCTGTGTGGTGTGGCTGATGGTGTGTCCTGTGTGGTGTGGCTGATGATGTGTGCTGTGTGATGTGTCCTGTGTGATGTGGCTGATGGTGTATCCTGTGTGATGTGGCTGATGGTGTGTCCTATGTGGTGTGGCTGATGGTGTGACTGTGTGGTGTGTCCTGTGTGGTATGTCCTGTGTGATGTGGCTGATGGTGTGTCCTGTGTGGTGTGGCTGATGGTCTGTCCTGTGTGGTGTGGCTGATGGTGTGTCCTGTGTGATGTGGCTGATGGTGTGTCCTGTGTGGTGTGGCTGATGGTGTGTCCTATGTGGTGTGGCTGATGGTGTGTCCTGTGTGGTGTGGCTGATGGTGTGTCCTGTGTGGTGTGGCTGATGGTGTGTCCTGTGTGGTGTGGCTGATGGTGTGTCCTGTGTGATGTGGCTGATGGTGTGGCTGTGTGATGTTGCTGATGGTGTGGCTAATGGAAGGCAGGGTATTTCCATCTTTTCAGGCCACCTTTATGTCAATGGAATATTGCTGACTATGGCATGAAACAACATTCATTCACTCACCACTCTGTTACTGGAATGAAATCATGTCTTTTTTCATGTATTCCCAGGTCTTAGCTGATTTTCCCATCACTCATTTCTGCTCAGCTGCAACAGCCTTCCGCAGCATGATCAAACACGACCTGTCACAACATCACTTTCCACATCTACGCCATTGTGTGAGTGCCGGGGAACCAGTGGTAAGCTGTTTAGTATAATTTCATAGAATGTGTATTTAAGAAATAAATGATGAGAGGAAGTTGTTGGTAAAATAAAACACTGCAGGGGAAATAACCCATGAGGGGCGCCCCAAGTGATCTATTTATACAACAACCACTAGTCAATTAATTCTTATAGCTGTATCAACATTATGTACAGCTTAAAGGATGTTAATAAAATGTACAGGCTTTAAAAATATTTACCTGTTATTAAATAATGATGACTTTCTGACCCTGACTACAATCTGACCTTGGCAATGTTGGACAAGTTGGAGGGGGGGAGTTTGGTATTTCCTGGATATTTTCACATCAATCATCGGTACCTTTTCTCCGAATACTGATTGTCTTCCACTTTTGAGTGTGATCGTTTAGCCATTGTGTTTGTCTTCGTGGCACAGCTACATCTGTGTAATGTGGCTGATGGTGTGTCCTGTGTGATGTGGCTGATGGTATGTCCTGTGTCCCCATCTGTGGGGAACAACTCACAAGACACTTCACTCTAAAAAATAATGTCGTATGATTTACGACATCATCAAGCTGCAAGCGCAAGTTTGAATCTCCAGAAATGACGTCATAAAAGAACAATGTTTTATCATGAAATAACTCTTCATTGTTCTTTGCAATTTTTGGCATAGCTATGTTTTATAGGTAAATCGTCTTAGTATTCTAATTAAGAGATATGTGATATCTTTCGTCTCGCTAATTTATTTTTATATTTGTGCTGCATATTCAAATGTGTATGTTTATATCCTAAGACCCTTGTAATAAGACACATACCATTACAATACCTGTTGTTTCAGAATCCTGAAGTGATTGAGGAATGGAGGAATGGTACTGGTTTGACTCTCTATGAGGGCTACGGACAGACAGAAACAGTGAGTTAGCACTGAAGTGTTTTACATCTATATTGTGGGACATATAAGAAAGTGGTGGGACAGGAAGCCAAGTGGTGTGACAGGAAGCCAAGTGATGTGACAGGAGGCCTAATAGTGTGACAGGAAGCCAAGTGGGATGACAGGAAGCCAAGTGATGTGACAGGAGGCCTAGTGGTGTGACAGGAAGCCAAGTGGGATGACAGGAAGCCAAGTGGTGTGAGAGGAGGCCCAGTGGTGTGACAGGAAGCCAAGTGATGTGACAGGAAACCAAGTTGTGTGACAGGAGGCCTAGTGGTGTGACAGGAAGCCAAGTGGGATGACATGAGGCCTAGTGGTGTGACAGGAAGCCAAGTGGGATGACAGGAAGCCAAGTGGTGTGACAGGAGGCCTAGTGGTGTGACAGGAAGCCATGTGGTGTGACAGGAGGCCTAGTGGTGTGACAGGAAGCCAAGTGATGTGACAGGAAACCAAGTGGTGTGACAGGAGGCCTAGTGGTGTGACAGGAAGCCAAGTGGTGTGACAGGAAGCCAAGTAATGTGACAGGAAGCCAAGTGGGATGACAGGAAGCCAAGTGGTGTGACAGAAGGCCAAGTGGTGTGACAGGAAGCCAAGTGATGTGACAGGAGGCCTAGGGGTGTGACAGGAAGCCATGTGGTGTGACAGGAAGCCAAGTGGGATGACAGGAGGCCTAGTGGTGTGACGGGAAGCCAAGTGGGATGACAGGAAGCCAAGTGTGTGACAGGAGGCCTAGTGGTGTGACAGGAAGCCAAGTGATGTGACAGGAGGCCTAGGGGTGTGACAGGAAGCCATGTGGTGTGACAGGAAGCCAAGTGGGATGACAGGAGGCCTAGTGGTGTGACGGGAAGACAAGTGGGATGACAGGAAGCCATGTGGTGTGATGGGAAGCCAAGTGGGATGACAGGAGGCCTAGTGGTGTGACAGAAAGCCAAGTGATGTGACAGGAAACCAAGTGGTGTGACAGGAGGCCTAGGGGTGTGACAGGAAGCCATGTGGTGTGACAGGAAGCCAAGTGGGATGACAGGAGGCCTAGTGGTGTGACGGGAAGCCAAGTGGGATGACAGGAGGCCTAGTGGTGTGACGGGAAGACAAGTGATGTGACAGGAAGCCATGTGGTGTGACAGGAGTCCTAGTGGTGTGACAGGAAGACAAGTGATGTGACAGGAAGCAATGTGGTGTCACAGGAAGCCAAGTGATGTGAAAGGAAGCCAAGTGATGTGACAGGAAGCCATGTGGTGTGACAGTAAGCCAAGTGATGTGACAGGAAGCCATGTGGTGGGACAGGAAGCCAAGAGATGTGACAGGAAGCCATGTGGTGTGACAGGAAGCCATGTGATGTGCTGTACAGGAAGCCATGTGGTGTGACAGGAAGCCAAGTGATGTGACAGGAAGCCATGTGGTGGGACAGGAAGCCAAGTGATGTGACAGGAAGCAATGTGGTGTGACAGGAAGCCAAGTGATGTGACAGTAAGCCAAGTGATGTGACAGGAAGCCAAGTGATGTGACAGGAAGCCATGTGATGGGACAGGAAGCCAAGAGATGTGACAGGAAGCAATGTGGTGTGACAGGAAGCCATGTGGTGTGACAGGAAGCCAAGTGATGTGACAGAAAGCCATGTGGTGTGACAGGAGGCCAAGTGATGTGACAGGATGGCAAGTGGTGTAACAGGATGGCAAGTGGTGTGACAGGATGGCAAGTGATGTGACAGGAAACCAAGTGGTGTGACAGGAGGCCTAGTGGTGGGACAGGAAACCAAGTTGTGTGACAGGAGGCCTAGTGGTGTGACAGGAAGCCAAGTGGGATGACATGAGGCCTAGTGGTGTGACAGGAAGCCAAGTGGGATGACATGAGGCCTAGTGGTGTGACAGGAAACCAAGTGGTGTGACAGGAGGCCTAGGGGTGTGACAGGAAGCCAAGTGGGATGACAGGAGGCCTAGTGGTGTGACGGGAAGCCAAGTGGGATGACAGGAAGCCATGTGGTGTGATGGGAAGCCAAGTGGGATGACAGTAGGCCTAGTGGTGTGACAGGAAGCCAGGTGGTGTGACAGGAGGCCTAGTGGTGTGACAGGAAGCCAAGTGATGTGACAGGAAACCAAGTGGTGTGACAGGAGGCCTAGGGGTGTGACAGGAAGCCATGTGGGATGACAGGAAGCCATGTGGTGTGATGGGAAGCCAAGTGGGATGACAGGAGGCCTAGGGGTGTGACAGGAAGCCATGTGGGATGACAGGAAGCCATGTGGTGTGATGGGAAGCCAAGTGGGATGACAGGAGGCCTAGTGGTGTGACGGGAAGCCAAGTGCGATGACAGGAGGCCTATTGGTGTGACAGGAAGCCAAGTGATGTGACAGGAAACCAAGTGGTGTGACAGGAAGCAATGTGGTGTGACAGGAAGCCATGTGTTGTGACAGGAAGGCAAGTGATGTGACAGAAAGCCATGTGGTGTGACAGGAGGCCAAGTGATGTGACAGGATGGCAAGTGGTGTAACAGGAGGGCAAGTGGTGTGACAGGATGGCAAGTGATGTGACAGGAAACCAAGTGGTGTGACAGGAGGCCTAGTGGTGGGACAGGAAACCAAGTTGTGTGACAGGAGGCCTAGTGGTGTGACAGGAAGCCAAGTGGGATGACATGAGGCCTAGTGGTGTGACTGGAAGCCAAGTGGGATGACAGGAAGCCAAGTGTGTGACAGGAGGCCTAGTGGTGTGACAGGAAGCCATATGGTGTGACAGGAGGCCTATTGGTGTGACAGGAAGCCAAGTGATGTGACAGGAAACCAAGTGGTGTGACAGGAGGCCTAGTGATGTGACAGGAAGCCAAGTGATGTGACAGGAAGCCAAGTGATGTGACAGGAAACCAAGTGGTGTGACAGGATGGCAAGTGGTGTGACAGGAAACCAAGTGGTGTGACAGGAAGCCAAGTGGTGTGACAGGAAGCCAAGTGGTGTGACAGGATGGCAAGTGGTGTGACAGGATGGCAAGTGGTGTAACAGGATGGCAAGTGGTGGGAATGGACGCCTAGTGGTGTTACTCAGAAATATTACTGTGATAACATACAGTTAACAAGGTAATTAACAAAAAAGTACAGAGTTGAGCATTTATTGTGTGTCAAAGCTTTGCTAATTTGTTTCAGACGTTTCTGTGTGGGTCATATCCTTGTATTGAGGTGAAGCCAGGCTCCATGGGGAAGGCCTCCCCAGGGATAGATGTACAGGTATGTCTGTTAACTGTAGGACAGATGTACAGGTAGGGTAGTTGACTGAAGGATAGATGTACAGGTAGGGCTGTTGACTGTAGGGTAGATGTACAGGTAGGGCTGTTGACTGTAGGGTAGATGTACAGGTAGGGCTGTTGACTGTAGGACAGATGTACAGGTAGGGTAGTTGACTGAAGGATAGATGTACAGGTATGTCTGTTAACTGTAGGACAGATGTACAGGTAGGGTAGTTGACTGAAGGATAGATGTACAGGTAGGGCTGTTGACCGTAGGATAGATGTACAGGTAGGGCTGTTGACTGTAGGGTAGATGTACAGGTAGGGCTGTTGACTGTAGGATAGATGTAAAGGTAGGTGTATTGGCTCCAAGGATAGATGTACAGGTAGGGCTGTTGACTGAAGGATAGATGTACAGGTAGGGCTGTTGACTGTAGGATAGATGTACAGGTAGGTGTATTGGCTCCAAGGATAGATGTACGGGTAGGGCTGTTGACTGAAGGATAGATGTACAGGTAGGGCTGTTGACTGTAGAATAGATGTACAGGTAGGGCTGTTGACTGTAGGATAGATGTACAGGTAGGGCTGTTGGCTGCAAGGACAGATGTACAGGTAGGTGTGTTGGCTCCAAGAATAGATGTACAGGTAGGTTTGTGAAAGTTCCTTAGGTGTGTTGACTGCAGGTAGGTAGGTCTGTGAGAGTTTTCCAGGTGTGTAGACTGTTGGGATAAAGGTACAGTTATGTTTGTTGCTCAGGTGTGTTGACATGCAACTTGTTCATTTAACAAAGCGATTATCACATTATCCCAGTTGTAAGTTTATGGCAAGCTTAGTGCAGCATAGTCTGCCTGTGGGGATTCAGGGCCAGAATAGGTCATTTTAAGTTTGTGAGATCTTTCTTTTGGCTGGTGCTGCTATATCCAGAGTGAGTTTACTTGAAACACATGTCCTTGTGTACATTGTAGGTTGTTGTCAAGTTGATATAAATGTTGTGCGGATTCAGGGCCAGAATAGGTCACCATGCCCTTCTTCCTGTGGGGATTCAGGGCCAAAATAGGTCACCATGCTCTTCTCCCTGTGGGGATTCTGGGACAGAATAGGTCACCATGCTCTTCTCCCTGTGGGGATTCAGGGCCAGAATAGGTCACCATGCCCTTCTCCCTGTGGGGATTCAGGGCCAGAATAGGTCACCATGCCTTTCTCCCTGTGGGGATTCAGGGCCAGAATAGGTCATCATGCCTTTCTCCCTGTGGGGATTCAGGGCCAGAATAGGTCAGCATGCTCTTCTCCCTGTGGGGATTCAGGGCCAGAATAGGTCATCATGCCCTTCTCCCTGTGGGGATTCAGGGCCAGAATAGGTCACCATGCCTTTCTCCCTGTGGGGATTCAGGGCCAGAATAGGTCACCATGCCTTTCGCCCTGTGGGGATTCAGGGCCAGAATAGGTCACCATGCCTTTCTCCCTGTGGGGATTCAGGGCCAGAAAAGGGCACCATGCCCTTCTCCCTGTGGGGATTCAGGGCCAGAATAGGTCACCATGCCTTTCTCCCTGTGGGGATTCAGGGCCAGAATAGGTCATCATGCCTTTCTCCCTGTGGGGATTCAGGGCCAGAAAAGGGCACCATGCCTTTCTCCCTGTGGCTGATTCAGGGCCAGAATAGGTCACCATGCCTTTCTCCCTGTGGGGATTCAGGGCCAGAATAGGTCATCATGCCTTTCTCCCTGTGGGGATTCAGGGCCAGAAAAGGGCACCATGCCTTTCTCCCTGTGGCTGATTCAGGGCCAGAATAGGTCACCATGCCTTTCTCCCTGTGGGGATTCAGGGCCAGAATAGGTCACCATGCCTTTCTCCCTGTGGCTGATTCAGCGCCAGAATAGGTCACCAAGCCCTTCTCCCTGTGGGGATGCAGAATGTTTTGAGCTTTCTTTTAGCTATATCTGACTGCTATATCCTGAGTTGATCAGAAACACATGTCTTCGTGTACGTTGTAGGTTGTTTTCAAATTGATTTAAATGCTGCCCTCTGTTGTCCAGGTTGTTGATGACAGTGGTGCCATTTTACCAAGAGGGAAGGAAGGAAACATTGGCGTTCAATACAAACCACACAGACCAATTGGACTCTTTTCAAAATATGTGGTAGGTGTCCGTTATTATCAAGGGTATTATATCTCCACCTTGTTATGATAGAAACCCTGGACACATTTGGAAGTGAAGTCCCCATCACCATCTCTCTAAGCACCAACTTGACACAAAAGGTTTCTTGCTCCTGAGCTGGAAATCAACAACCAGTCAAAATAACACCCTGAACAGAGTTCATCATAAATTTACATTCATAATTGAATAGAATATCAATAGTTCAACATCACTGTGGGCTACACTACTACTACCTGGTACTGTAAAAGTAAATGTGCCCCCTTATTGTCCTCCTAGAACCCTAATTTGGCCTGGATGTTTGCCTGTTGTGTATGAGGGCACTGTCTGCTTTATGCAGGGAGACCCGGAGAAGACAGCAGCAGTGTTCCGTGGGGATTTCTACCTGACAGGGGACCGGGCATACATGGACGATGAGGACTACATCTACTTTGTTGGGAGAGCAGATGATGTCATCCTGTCATCAGGGTAATGTATTGACCCATGTCATGTCATACAAGCTTTATCTATATATAATGTCATCCTGTCAGCTTGTCATACAAGCTTTATCCTATATATAAGTAATCCTATCGGCATGTCATACAAGCTTTATTCTGTATATGATGTCATCCTGTCAGCACCTCATACAAGCTTTATGCTATATATGATGTCATCCTGTCAGCATGTCAGCATGTCATACATGCTTTCTCCTATATATGAGATATAAGCATTATCTTGTGAAGATCTCATCCTGTCATATGTATATATGATATCAGCTTGTCACAATGTGATACAAGCTTTATCCTATAAGGATACTGTTGTATACTTGCAAGGAACACTCAAGACACCACAGATACATGATAGAGGCAGGGTACTAGTGTTTACTTTTATCACAGTCTTCTTGTTTGTTTGTTTGTTTTCTGGTAGGGCAACTGGCACCCATTTCCAGACACATTGCAGATAACACTTGGAGATAACACTTGTATTAACTTGGTGCTGCACGAATTTCAGGAGTAACAGTGTCTGATGTTCTGCTGCAAGTAGGGTAATGTAGTAGTTACATATTTCATACTGATTGATCAAGCTTATCCCTTGTTTCTGTATCTCCAGATATCGCATAGGACCATTTGAAGTGGAGAGTGCTCTGTTGGAACATCCCGCAGTCCTGGAATCGGCCGTTGTCAGCAGTCCTGATGACTTGAGAGGGGAGGTAAGTCATGATAAAAACACTGCCAGTTGTTACAAATCAATCATTCAAGGTTCACAATTTTAACCTTACAAAACAGATATAATCAATGAATTTGAACAGACTTGATGATGATAATAATAGTATCTATCATAAAAATTGGGATGATTGTTCTAGTTTTTAGGACAGGAAAAAGAAGAACGCATGATGGCATAGACATGAGACCAAAATAGAATTTATACTGATATTGCTTCATATCAGAAAGTGCTGATATAAAACCAGTTACTTGTCAAGTTGTTGTCAAGGGTTCATAAATTTGCAGGTTGTAAAAGCATTTGTGGTACTGACTTCGAAATACAGAGGCAAGGACATGGAGAAGCTGGGACGAGAGCTGCAGGATCATGTCAAACAGTCCACAGCTCCATATAAGTACCCTAGGAAGGTGGGTAGATATAAGAAATATATAACCATCGTACCCCAGGAAGTTACAGATGTGGCAGATATATAACAGCAGTACCCTAGGAAGGAGGGTACATGTAGCAGATATATATAACCACAGTACCCTGGGTAGATATAGCAGATATATAACCACAGTGTCCCAGGAAGGTGGGTAGATATAGCAGATATATAACCACAGTATCCCAGGAAGGTGGGTAGATAAAGCAGATATATAACCACAATATCCCAGGAAGGTGGGTAGATATAACAGATATATAACCACGGTGCCCTGGGAGGTGGGTAGATATAGCAGATATATAACCACAGTATTCCAGGAAGGTTGGTAGATGTAGCAGATATATATAACCACAGTACCCTGGGTAGATATAGCAGATATATAACCACAGTGTCCCAGGAAGGTGGGTAGATATAGCAGATATATAACCACAGTATTCCAGGAAGGTGGGTAGATGTAGCAGATATATAACCACAATATCCCAGGAAGGTGGGTAGATGTAGCAGATATATAACCACAATATCCCAGTAAGGTTGGTAGGTATAGCAGATATATAACCACAGTATTCCAGGAAGGTGGGTAGATGTAGCAGATATATAACCACAGTATTCCAGGAAGGTGGGTAGATGTAGCAGATATATAACCACAGTATCCCAGGAAGGTTGGTAGATGTAGCAGATATATAACCACAGTATCCCAGGAAGGTGGGTAGATGTAGCAGATATATAACCACAGTATTCCAGGAAGGTGGGTAGATGTAGCAGATATATAACCACAGTATTCCAGGAAGGTGGCTAGATGTAGCAGATATATAACCACAGTGCCCGGATGAGGTGGGTAGATATAGCAGATATATAACCACAGTATCCCAGGAAGGTGGGTAGATATAACAGATATATAACCACGGTGCCCTGGGAGGTGGTTGGATATAGCAGATATATGACCACAGTATTCCAGGAAGGTGGGTAGATATAGCAGATATATAACCACAGTGCACCCCAATGCCCTTGACATTTTACCCCTGTTGATAACCCCACAACTCCAACATTTTACTCCTGTCACCCATCCATGATGCACCTCAATACCCTTTGATAATTAATATCCGTCGGCCCCGAAGATACTGTGTGACACCGTAATATTACCTCAGTCAACCCCTGGCATCCCACTGTTATACTGTTCCCTGTTACAGATTGAGTTTGTTGAGGAGCTACCGAAGACTGTGAGTGGCAAGATCCGCAGAATAGAGCTGAGAAATAAGGAATGGGGAAGATAATACCAGTAACACAGTGGCAGCAGTTTCAATGAATTCAATCTATACTCAGAAACCACTATAGAAGAACAGAGCTGAAATAAAATATATATATATAACTCCTCACAGCGACAGCCCGTTCGCGGTGCTCTCTATACTATTGCTGCCACCAGTCAAAGCTCCCCACTGTGATATGTGGCCACAACCATACTCGGAGTTGAATTTGCAACTGACTGATTATTATGTTGACAAACAAGTGATGACTGCCGTGATGCCGAATACTCTTACCCCAGCTGAATTATTTTCTTTGTTTGTCAGTTTGAATTTCTATTTCATTTCAACTACAAATGTATCATGTAATTGGTGTAGTAAGAATTTAAGGGGGGAGTTGGGCAATTTTCCGTTAGTCTGCAATCTCGGACCAATCTGATTATACAAACAGCAAGGTAAATTCATCTAGGAAATCTGGTCAGTTGTAAAGCTTGTCAAAATTCACTATGATGGCATTCCTAAAGACATAAACAAAAATATAAACATGACTACATTTGGGACAGATTTCAATATTTTTTAAATGTCTGCTTTCACGCTGACAGCAGCAATGTTACCAAGAGTGTAACAAAGGTGTCACATGCTCGGAATTAGCTTGAGGCAATGTCTTGCCAGGATTCTTGCTCGCACACAACAAATAGTAAGAAATGATGAAATCACTTAAATATACATTTGTCATGTTCCTGTTACAGGAGGTGACTTCGTCAGTTCCTGTTCTAACTATAGCATATTGCCATCTCACAAACTGACGATTCAAGTAATTTCTGTGTGGCAGCAGCGATGACATCTTAGGTGTTGGTGAATTGTTTCAGCCTTATTGAAAGCAGTGTGATCTCCAACTAGCTTATTTACTGGGATCCAAGGAGTTGAATCAGTCTGGGCACATGAGGCTCACATGTCTTCTATATTCCAGACATTTCTGGAGTATTAACACCATCTAACTGAAGAAGCTTAACAAGTACAAATACATGGAGATGCTCAAACCTATTACTAATGCTCATTATTTATTTTGTGATAGTTATTCAAATTATTCCTAAAATACATGTACCTAATTTGGACTTTAATGACCTTACATTTCTGCCTTGAAATATTTACATCACAGTTTCATGTTTTTATGAAGATGATATATTTTATTAGATGAGTTATGATCTTCCTCAACTTTAAAACAATTGTTGTGAATATGATATGTTGGTCATGGGGGTACATGCACTTGGATGCGTCGAGGGATGCATAAAAAAACATGTACCCCTCTTGATACTGCTACAACTTCTTATGTATTAGTTCCATGCTGCTACACACTTGTCACACTGTTTAAAACATTTATATTATAGCATCAAGAATGAGAGACATAAAGAACCTGTTTCATGAACCTGAATCTCACCTGGGAATTGCCAGACTGTGGTTAGATTTACGGTATCATAGTCTAAATTTCTTTGAAGATGAGATTGTTGTTTTAATCGAAAGGAACAGCTGGATATGTCCTTACCTCAACCAAACGCACGAGCAAGTTCTTTCGAATTTTTGTGAATCCAAAATGTGATAATGTTTGCGAGTTTGCCTCATCCTAATCTAAACCACAATGATATTAAGGATGATGTTGAAATTGGCATTAAAAGGAAAATAGTTAAATTCTGAAATAAGTAACATATAATCTTTTGTGTTCCATCAACCTAGGAGATATTTTTATTTTGTAAGAGAAATATTTGAAACCAATAACGTTTGTTAAAAATAACATTCTCAATTATCCAACCTTTTATCATATCTCCATTCTGTTATGATAAACGGATTGAAGATACATGCTGGATAATTGAGGATGTTTCAACAGCAGTTAATGTTGTTTAGGATACACAATATCTGTAGCAGTAGAATTTGTATATGATTATGTAGCCAGTCATTGATTAAATGTTTTGTACATGTTGTTTTGTGATTTGTTTTGTTATATTTTTTTCATGATTAGTCACAAGTCTCTTATTATGGGAATATGGGGCACGGGTGGACCAGTCGTCTAAGACGCTGCTATTTGCCTGTGCAGAAACGTATAATTGTTTTTTTCCGAAGCCTCCATCTCTATTAAATCCTTGCCAAATTCCTGTATTTTGGTTGTAAGCTATACACAACTATACACCAATCTATACACAACTAGTTGTCACTGCAGTAACACCAATTATAGTGGGAACAACTAGTTGTGTATAGTTGGCAGTGGAGGGGACTTCTATTGAAATTCTGAAGATTTAGTTATAGTGTGATTTCAGCAAAAATATAGGAATTTGGCAATGATGTAATAGAGGTAGTATGCTTAGAATTATTAACAATGATAACTATTGTTCCTATGATTGTGGGTTCAAATCCCAGTTTGCCCCAGTTATGTTTCTGGGTTTGTCAGCACCATAACAGTGCTTGTGTATTTCACCAAACTGCCAAACATCATTTCGGGCTTTCCTCCCACATTAAGCTGACACACTGTCATGTAACTGTAATACTGTTAAAAGCAGCGTTAAACCCAACTCACTCGAATGGTCAGAATTGTATGGTATCAGAATGGTATCACAAGGCATGGGCCTTATTATTTGTTTACCAACAGAAATTTCTCAAATGTGGAATTGAACCCTGCCTGTCTTCTTATTTCTTGTCAAAGAAACAGGAAAATTTCATATTTGCTTGTATTTCACCTTCTTGACATATTTTGTAAGAGATCACTTCAATAACATGTATTGCAAGTTATATAAAAAAAAAACCAATACTATCCAAGTAATATGAAAAGGATTTAGATTCTTTTCAAGAGTGGCCCTATCATCAAAGGCGCTGCAATTCGCTGTGTGGAGTTGTGTCCCTTTGGCATGCCAGAAACCTATGATCATGGGTTTGAATCTGATTCTCTCCAATTTTGTTTCTTGGCTTGTCAACACCATACCCCCTGAAGAGGCTACTGAAAACAAACAGGAATCTCTTGAGTCATAAATTTAATGTTAAAAAAACTCAAACGTGTTCAACAATATCTAATACCATGGGGGTTATCAGAGTTGTAGCCACATGGAAGGCAAAGTGAGGAAGATCTGTGTGAGATGTTTGTGGAGCAAGGCCCAGAATAACTCCAACTAAAATTGTGATCAGGTTGTCTTGCTCATTGATTGGATGATTGGTGTCATCCTACAAGGATGGCTTGGATCCTTGCTCGTCCTTTCAATCACTGGTTTGCCAGATCCAGACTCCATCAATAACAAGTCGGTGTAATACAGCTGGAACATTGCTCAAGGCTGCATTTACAATCTCACTTACTGGCGCTTGATCTAGACTCTCTGAAATAGAGCCAAAACTATGGAACGTATTGCTGAACACACGTAAGAACAAAATCGGCATAAACACCGCTTTTTGGCATGGTACGTGTTCTGCGTGAAACATAAGAACCCGTTTTCACGCGCAAACCTTCCACCCATCTGTTATTATCGTCTGCACGTATTATGCAGATCCACAAGTTCCATAGTCATGTCGTGATTATAGTTCGTGTGCTTTTTTATGGTAGTGGTTCTTTAAAGGGGAAGTGTACACGCAAAAATCACTTTCTTTCTTTTTCTAAACAAAACGCAATTTTAGAATTAATTAGTATCTGGGCTTGAAAATATACACTCATTTTTTCCACAGTGAAAGTAGGAAGCTCACAATAGTGTGAAAATGATATGCCGTTATGAGGCCTTCGTTTTTCGAGCTAAACAGGCCTGAGTTATCCCCCTTAGATTATGACGTAATTGGTGCCAATTCAACTGGGTCCCTGTCTATTCTCAACGCAAAAAATATCAAGTACCAGTTTGCGGTAAAACAACATGGCCTACGACACACTCCGGCGCAGTGGTGACTCAGCATAACACTATGCTGGCTGGCATCTGAGACGCTAGAATCACACACCTAGACCTACACCACGTGAAGCGGCTCTAACAAAGCATGATGACGTCATAATGTTTATCAATTGGCACCAATGACGTCATATTGCAAGGGGCATAAGCCATGGTGTTTTTGTTGTGGAAATAGAACACTTGGTAAATGTGAAAAATATAAATCGTTTTAATGCGAAAAATATGTTAATTAATTGTGATATCTTTATATTTTTGGCTATGACACTTCTAGGTTAACACTTTTAATGTGGAAAAAGTACAAGAAAAATAGGTTAATTTCCGTGTGAACTTGCCCTTTAAGAGTGTGACGTTATTGTACTGAATGAGAGTAGCGCTACAAGGGTTAAATAATCCTCAATAGAGTGGACGCGATTCAGGACAAGTGTAACTTTTCAGTTGCTGACAATTATAATTCACTTACCCAAACGTGTTGATTTCGTATTCCTTGTTGTCCGTATCAACCAGCCGCAGGGATGTCTAATTGTTAGCACACATCGTGTTCGATTCTCGTTCGTATTGCTCTTTGGTGTTAATTTTAATGAAAACGCAGACACATTGATTATTTACTTTAACATTTAAAGACATGAAAGTGTGTTCCCTAAATCCCTCAAAGTTCACTTGCATATGGTAGCAAGGTATTGAGTGACACAGTTTGGGATTAATGTGCTTTTAACAACAATATCAAGGCGGTCGACACCAGAAATGGGCTACACGCATTTATCACATGTGGGGAATCCAACCTGGTCCTTAGCGTGAGGAGAGAACGCTTTAACAACAAGCCTACCCCACCGCTCCGAGAAATGTGAATAGAAAACTGCTGATGCCTTTCTTTTTGCTGCCTTTCAACTATCTGTTGGACATTGGTGGCCTTTCACAAGATGCTGCAATCGCAGTGTAGAGTTGCGTCCCTTAGAAGTGTGTACATCCAATGATCGTTAGTTCGAATCAGAGACCTGCATCATTTTAGGCTTCTTCCCATGTTACCATGACGTTTGTTTGTTGTTTAACGCCACACTCAGTAATATTCCAGCTGTATGACTACTATGCTTGTCGTGAGAAGCGACTAAGGGGATCGGGTGGTCATGCTCACTGACTTGCTTGGTTCATGTCATCGTATCCCAATTGCGTGGATATGCTCATGATGGCAATCACTGGATTGTCTGGTTATATACAGACCGCCGTCATATAGCTCGACTATTGCTGAGTGCAGCGTTAAACAACAAACAAACAAACTATGGATCAATCCTAAATCGGAATCCACAGGGTGAAAGTAGATTACTGGTCTTGTTTATGCATAACAAATCACAACCGCAAACATGGTATGGTGGTAGAGCGTCCGCCAGGAAGGTCCAAGGTTTGATCCCCGGCCGCGTATAACCAAAAGACGTCAACAGAGGGTACTGTTACCATGCCTAGCGCTCGGAATTAAGGGACTAAAGTAAGGACTGGTCGGGATACTGTGTCTGAGTTGGGTATTCATGTTAAACTGCGGCATGGTATCTTAGTGGGCAGGCACTATAAAATCGGCATAAGTCCGGACAAGTACAAGCCGCCACACACACACGTGCATGCACGTCGCTATAAAAGTGCAATAATATTGGACGCGACCTTAAACCCCATTTCACGTCGCCTAAGGCTGCGTTCACACAGTGCCGATTATGGCTCCCGTTTGAGATCAGACAGCGCAAAGACACGAAAAGTGAAAAAGTCGGATTACTATCCTCAATGATCTGGAATGCCCTATCATTGTCTGAACGTTAGTCGTATATGTTCGTAACTGAGTCCTACGGATCAGGAAAGGTCCAGAGAGGTCGGCCAAGCACTTCCGACAGTATGGTGTGTCCCGTAACATTCGGGAAACTCAGCCGATTTTGTCTTGTCGGATTACAATCGTGAGTGAGTGAGTTGGGTTTTAACGCCGCTTTTAACATTATTGCAGTTATATCGCGGCGTGTCAGCTTGATGTACGAGGAAAGCCCGAAGTGATGCATGTCTCAGACGTTTACCACTTCGGTGAAACCCACGAGCACGGGTGTGGTGCTGACAAACCTAGAAACATAATTGGGGCGAACCAGGATTCGCACCCACAATCATAGGTTTCTGGCGTGCCCAAGGGACGCAACTCTGCACAGCGAATTGCGGCGCCTTAGACGACTGGGCCACCCGTGCCCCCTAATCGTGACTATGTCGTGACAGATTCTGCTGTATCGGATCACAATCGTAACAATGTCCTGTGTTGTCTGGACGGTGCCCTGTGGATCGGGACGCTGTCGCGATGAACCGGCATGATTTGGAGAAATTGTTCATTGCCGTTTCTTGTCGATTGGGTCCAGACCTTGCCGAATGCGAACCGTCTTTGTTGGTTCACTGTCGGGTCACTGTCGGATCTCTGTCGGATCGCATTCGGGAGAATCGGGACAGATTCAGTCGTTTTTTACCACCCGGAAGATACAAATCGGATCAGATTCGGATTGAGAACGGGAGAATCGGGACGAATTCGGCTGGAAACGGCTGAATCGGGACGCTTCCTGAAAATATCTGATTGTTGTTGTGATTAAATAACTGGTTTTTTTACAAATTTGTGAATTTCCCGCCATGAATTACAGGATCTTGATAAGAATTTTGAAAATTTTAAACGGGAATGGACCTATTAAGGACGGCAGTAAAATCCTGAATGTGTCACTGAGCCCTAACATGGCATGTCACTATACTGAAAGCATATCACTATACCGCATGAAGACAAGTCGGGGTATTTGGTATTTTCAGTTTTTATTGACAACAAATATACTTAACAAAAGCATAGGTTTGACGGAAAAAATGGATATCAACAGGAAGTACATATTCTTGATATAGGTTTAACATACAGGAGAATTACATGACAAAAGCGGACTGGAGTCGGATATAATCAAAAGCAAAAATAACTGATCACATACATTTATCTATAACTGAAATATAGGGGGAATTAGCTCTTGGTTGGAATCGAGGACAACATCGGCATCACTAACCACAAACACACAATGAGCGGGACACCTGCTC